GACCGTTACTTCCACTTAGCAGACGAACTTTTTCTCAGCTCCAAGTGAACCGATTTTTGAAAGTGAATAGACGAATCGACAGCTCTTTTCCCGCGCTACAAGATGCCGACCACACCGAGCCGATGCGATACCCTCGTCCCGACTTATGAGGGTTTTAAAATGAGATAAAAAATTTCGAAAATAAGCGATATTGAGATGGCTGTAAGTCCCCCAAAACGCATTCAAATGTCAGAAGTGACGTGTTCATTGGAAAGCTCATCCAATTCTCTTCAATTTCAAAAAAAAAACGTCCGATTCGGCGGAGTTTTTGAAAAGTTACGGACCTCCGAAAAAAGAAGACGAAGTTTTTAGGTGGCTCTATTATTTTGACCGCCACTGTAGTTGCAGTGCGGTGCGCCAGGCGACCACGACAGAATGGTATTCAGTAGGTTTCCTCTGTATCGAGAGAGAGAAACGAATGTCTGCTAATAATGGATGATGACGGCATACGTTTTTAGATGAGGTCAGAGACGCGTGACCGGCAGCGGATTTCGTCCATCTTGACAAGTCTGTCGCAAAATACGTGACGACGTAGACTCGAAACTTTTGAGAGATCGTTGGGCTCCGCACACAGGAAAGGGGGAGGGGCCAACGCGGGGAATGCTGCCGACGAGAAGGGACAATGTAGAGGAGGGGCGGGAAAAGAGACGGGAGATACTCAGGATGAGGGTGAGGGGCCCGAAGAGCTCGAGTGGACTATGAGTCGAAGAAAAACGAGGACACAATGGCCGTTCCAGACAGAGAGAATTCGAAGCACTCCGTCAGCGTAATGACCCCAGCGCTTAATTTTGTCCGAAACTCACAATTAAGGACTTTTTAAGACGGATGAACATTTCGCATCGAGCTAACTTCATCGTCCGACAGGGTTCCGGCTGGTCAGCAGGGGAATAGACGGTACGGGAAAATACGTACTTCGCGAGTCGGTCAGAACTTTTCTCGTCGCTCGACCATGGTCGGAACGGATCCCCAACCTGTTCGAAGCTCGGAATCCCCAAGTATTTCAAGAGTGAGCGCGAACTCTCAAAAAGTTCTCCAATGCTTTATTCAATGCTCTCGCAGCTCGGATTGCATGCGCTCCGACGCTCGCTGGAGACGCATCGAGACGGATAGATTCACCCTCGAACTTTCGATGGCGACTCGCATTTGGGAAGGAACTCCTATTGAATAAGCAATCCACGGAGCGTCAAGAGCAAACTCTGGTGAGCGCATCGATGCTCGCTCTGTTGATCAGCAAATCTGTCGTTGTGCACGGTGAACAATGCTAATGATGAAATCGAAATTCCCGCCGCACCCGGCGAGCCGACATGCGAAGCGGGTTCTGAGTGAGACAAAACACGACTCCTGTCCTTCTGAGAGAAAAGTCGCCATATCCTTTGTCATTGAGGGATTCTCCAAGTGATTTTCGGTCACCACGGGAGGCACGTTCTTTTATTCTGTTTTTCCTGTCCGAACAGATCTGTCGATTAAGCTCTCCCCCATGTCTGTGGAAGCATCTTTCATGCAAGGCAATACGTGCCTGCGGAACAATCTTTTCCATTATCACCGAGGGCCGGAGAGGGGTACGCCTCCCTGCTGCGACCCTCGCCGTCTCGCACTTTCCGAGCACTCCGAGGAAGTATTCCAACGATCGGAGGAATTGCCCAAAGTGCAATGAATTGCTCTAGGATTTTGAAGGAACCGGAGCGTGTCTCGACATCGAGGCCATAGGGGACTCGGACGGAGTCGAGCATTGAACGTTTCGTTCCGGAGCCGTTCTCCAAGATCGTCTGGTCGGTGGCCGATGCAGCAATTAGCTGCGCCTCTACGTGGGAAGACGTCGATCGAACATGCGTGCTGTGTGATCTTCGTCATTGTCGTCCTTCTTCGGCAATGTCTATACACACCTAGTGTCGCGCAGGTCACGGGATCTAAGCGCGCGGAAGACGGACGAAAAGAGCGGGATCGAGAAAACTCCCGCGATGCTTTCGCGGAATCGACGAAGATCCAATGAGAGCTTCCTCTCCTTGCCTCTCCTCCTTTGTCAATCTCGGGAGGAGATAGTCGGTCTTGGACGGTGGAGATGGAAGGAGCAGGGACTCACTCCGCTGCGAATTCGAGATCAGATTCGTCATCGCGTCCCATCGGAGAGGTCGATGTAGTCGCCCCTATCATAGCGGTGTCCTCCTCAACAATTCATGCGATCGGACGAGAACAGACTAATAAACAATGTGAGCAGATCCAAGACTCCCGTTTCCCAAGAGTTTCCTTGAGGGAATAAGTGACACCATCGATCGTGACCAGATGAAAACCGCGAAATGATCCGTATTCTGACGACTCAGGACATTTTCTTCAGAGAGGACACCCTTGTGCGAGATGTCAGACTGAAATCTGGGCATCGGCCGAGGGAACAGAATCCCGGGGAACTAATTTTTCTGTAGGGCTAAATTGAGTGAGAGGAACTCCGGATACCCAGGAGCGAAACAGAATTCTATCGACCCTGCCAGCCTGCGACGAGACCAAACATCATTAATTCTCCGTTACCGCAAGCGATACTGCATCCCTCCTAATGCCCGGAAGTTCGCTGGAATCACGGACCTTCTCAGTTCCCAAGCTTCTTTACTCTACTAATGAATGGTCAGATCATTTCCTTCCGTCCCGGAATCCCGTCAAGGAAGGGAGGGAATACGAGGTCGGCGTTTTGAAAATTCCGGCTGCGAGCGTTGTGCTCCCTTCTCTCCGCAGCTATCCGGAACATGCTTGCGTCCCATCTCTGACGTCACTGGACCGAGTCGACTCGGATATTCCCAGCACGGAGTTTTCATTCCCGGGGCTGTTTGTCTCCCTGTTGCACATTGTTTGAGGGAGATATCTTACTCCTCATGGTGGAACTTCGCTCGGTCAATCATGAAGAAGCATTTATTCCAGGCGCTCCAAGATTGCAATTTTCCCAAATAACAGCCGCAGAACGAATCCAACAAATTCTGCCGCTAGCGTGAGCTAGAGTCGTTTTTCTTGTTGCTCTCGAGGTGGGGGAATACCGAAGTCTCGTATTATGACGCCTGTGTACGATTTCTTGCTGCGTCGTACGACGAAAGACGGGAGGTTCCGTCGACCTCCGGAGCAATTTTTCTCTGCATAAAAAAACGGGCGTTGCTCTGAGAAGCACACTCACTGTTTTCTTCTTTTTCAGCAAATCGTTGGATCAGATGATGCGGCGAATGTCGGACGCGACCTCGATCTGTACTTCCTCGATGATGAAGACTCCAGAGAATCATTCAATGTGAGTGTTCCTTTTTTCTAGCCGCTGTATTTGACCTGAGTTCCGTGGAGATCATGAGCCGCACGTACGAGCTCACATATGTGTACGTCTCTCTGGGGGGAGTCGAACAACGTCGTTCCCCGTGACTCCGGGAACAGTCTGTACCGCTCCGTTCCCCCTGTTCGTCTGACGGAGCGTGCGGTTGGAACAAAGGGAAAACGGATGGAACAGCAAGCGACCTACGCCGCGGTCCGTGACCAACTTCAGGGACGGCGATAAGGAATACGCTCGAGGAGCAAGTGAGCTCCAATATATAGTTGGCGAGGGGTGCAAGAGGTTATTACGCTCCGATTGTATCGGATCGCATTAGGAGACTGCAGACGACCTACCGACGCATGGACGGACGGACTGGCTGACATACCGACCAAGCGATCGACCGACTGACCGACCCACTGTACCGAAAAAGGAGAGGGGCGAGCAGGGATCCTGCATGATTGCTTTAACCTCTTTTGGATGGAGAACCAACAGCCTCGCGAAACTCCTGAGGCCATGGAGGTGGCAGCAGCTCTGACCAAGTCCGCGGAGAAAAATTGAGGGACAGAGAGGGGATGGTTGGAGAAGAATAGCCCTGTGGTGTCTCTCGGGAGGAAATTCCCGCGAGTCTTTCCGCCGCCGCCGCCACGGTTGGAATCGTCTTGTTCTCAAACTCAGAGAAAAGAAACTCTAACCCTCGTTCTTTCTCTGCAGACTCACCACGTGAGCAAACGCGAGGCCGCGTCGAGCAGGAAGGCTCCGAAGAAGAAGAAGGAACCAAGTCCCGCCGAATCCCTCATGGGCTCCGGCGACAGCGAGGACTCGGACGACACAGAGGACTCGTCCAAGGTTTTCACTCCTCCGAGCGACGATGAAGATGGCGAGGATTTCGATGGATCAGGAGATATTTTCTCCGTTAGGCCTAAAACCACCAAGAGACCTAGAGTGAGCACTCCGCCCCCGATCCGGGGCGAGAACAGCGGACCGTCCGTCAGCACGCCGAGCACCACATCCACCACGACGTCTACAGCGGCGCCAACTACGTCGACGACGACGTCCACCACGACGACGACGACCGAAGAACCCGTCACGAGCACAGCCGTCCCGCCGACGATGCGAACTCCGTCGTCGAAGAGACCTCCGTTCAGTACGACCTCGATGCCGGAAGACGATGAGGATTCGGAAGATGACGGCGATTACGAGGGATCCGGAGCTGGAGAGTCAGCCATTGTTAAAGGTCACGTAAATACGCCCCGGAAGCCCGACGGTGTGAATAAACACGCTCCGAAGAAACCCAACAGCGCTGACAAGAGTATCCTCGCGCAGCCGGATTACAGTGATCTCGACGACGACGACGATGATGAAATGGACGGAGAAGACGATGAAGACCCTGACGGTAAGTTCCTGAGATTTCTACAGCTTTCTAGGTCCTCGATTCTTCTCCCGCTGGCTGTTTGGGTCTTGCGTTCTGCAAGCCGTCTGTTGGAGAGGCTTTTCGACTTGGAGAGACGTCCGTTTCTACTGAAGAAACGGACCGTCGCGTCGGGTGAAAACACCGAATCCACGTGGCTTCCTCCGAGCAATGCTTGTTGCGCTCGAACAAGTGAATCAGAATGAGGAGCTCCTTGTTTACACAGCCGGAAGTTTGCAAGTTTAAGTGGAAATGCGCATCCATGAATAGCAAATTAGTTCCCTGTACGGGATAGGATTCGAGCAAGTGTCTAGGAAGCCCTTCGAGCAAGCAGAGCAAGGAACGGACTCTATTCCGCCTTGCCGTAAGGCTCCGCAGATTCCATACTTCTCGAATAGCTGCTTGCTCCGTGCTTACACTTTTGATAATTCTACTCTCTGCTTTTCTTTCCACCGGTGTGAGTCGGAGAGCCCGGCGGACTCCAGGGGTCTTTAACCCATCCGTTGTTTACGTTCCGGACTTCTTTGACTATCTGATAAGAATTTCGTGCTCCCCAAGGGTTTCTCCCGCCGGCCCCTTCCCCCTCTCTTCAGTACAGAGGAGCATAGATATTTGGGTGGCCTTTCCAGCTACAGAGTTTCCTCGGATCATGCGCAACGAGTGTCTCGGGTTTATGGGGCTGCGGCTCAAAACTGTTTCGATACCACCGTTCCGACAGGAGGATGTTGAGCAAACATTTTCAAAATCCGCAAAACTTGGACAAACCTGAAACCTTGTCTCGTTCTCTTCGCAGACGACTTCGCTCTGCCAAGTCCGAAAACTCCGAGTGCAGACCCTCCCACGACGACGACGACCACCGCTCTTCCGACTACCACGAGCACCACAACAACAGAGATGAGTACTCGTCCTCCAACCACTGAAGCTCCGAAATCCACGACAAGTGCTTTCGTACCTGGTGGTAACGATGACGGCGTCGGAGGTGATGACGACGGAGACGATGACGCAGATGATGGAGACGATCCCGATGACACGGACGATATCGACGATTTGACCAAGAACGAGAACCGGAATAAGCACAACAAGGACGAAAACAATAACGGTGTCGACAGGACAAAAGTCGTCGTCGATGTCAACAAGAACCGCAATGAAGAACCATCCAGACCTTCGGATAACAGCGAAGAAAACGATATCGGCCACGACAAAGACGAGGACAACCTCATTCCCGTGAGTCAACGCGTGATCATGATGTCATAGAGCTCGGCTCCGGGGAGTCATGGAAATTTCCAGACCGCGGCAACTTTCCTCATTGGCCTCGGATTGAACCGACTAACAGTTGTTTGCTTTTTCGACAGGGGGGTACGAGTCGTGAAGTTCATCTATCGCGGCACAAGGCCACGCAGCGACCGTCTACCCTGTTGGGTCAACCGGGTATCCTGGTTGCGATAATGGGTGGAGCCGTTGTCGGCCTATTGCTCGCCATCCTCTGTGTGATGTTCGTAGTGTATCGCATGCGCAAGAAAGACGAGGGATCCTTCCCACTCGGCAAGCGTGAGTTTTCCGCAAGCTCGTGATATCTTATTATCTGAATGGCGTCGGAGCGACCTCCATCCCTCTCCATGGATCCGTTGAATGGAAATTACGTCGCCTCGGGCTCCGGAGCGCCGAGCCCGTGCCGGCGAGCCCCTGGTCCTGGGAGCGGGATCCACGGGGGTTTCCTTGCCGCAGACACCGATGCAGAACAGATGTGGTAACACGGAATTCGTTGCAGGCACCCACGACGATCACTTCAGTACTCACCGAAGGCACTACATGAGGCCCTCAGCCAATAAGGAGTTCTACGCCTGATTGCGCTGTGGATAAAGCACCCTCAGCATTTCCCTCTAGGACGAACGCACCGCACTGCATTCATCACTGTTCGTTGGACAACTTCATTTGATTTTCTTCTCTCTTCAATCCATTCAAGCGCCACTATTTTCGTACCGGAACGATCCTCCTCGAGTCTCAGCTGATCTCAGAGAATTGAGTTTGATTTGAAGACTCTTGCGCTGTCTAATCCGATGATCGAGATAATGACGATTGTGTTGATGATGATGAACTACTGAGCGAACTGGCCGACGAGAGTTTCCAGCGGATGTTGATAGCTTTAGGTGGAGGGAAACATCTCGCTGCGGCCACACGAGCGAATGTTACATTATCACGTCCCGAAGCACGACCCGGCTTCCGTCATGCGTAAAATTCATGTTTCTCAAGCGGGAAATGAACAACAAAAAATCGAGCGCTTGCCGCCCTCTCTGAACGGGATACCGTGGTGGCTCCGAGGGAGATCTCGCCCTGCCTCGGCTTGAAATTCGCTCTTTCGGTCGACACCCGCCATTCGCTCGATCGGATCGTTTATAGAAAAAAAGGTGGATGGAGTTAGAACTTGGTTGCTGCGTTTGCGAATTAGAGAGGAGTTGCAGCTTGCCCCTGTCATGACTCAATGTAACGTAGGTTGCTGTCGCGACTCAACGCGAGTCCCATATCGTAAGCCTCAAGACCAGAATGCTCTCAACCTGCCGCTGGCGGCAAACTCGACGTCCGTTGAGCTCGAGGTCTGGCGAAGACCTTCAGACTCGAGCACTTCGTCCTGTCGAGCTGCTCATGCGGATACTCAGTGGTCGAATGCAGGCACAGGCTCCTACTTAACATGCGAGGAATGCCACGGCGGAGCAAAGGCGGATGTATTTTAAGGAATCCCGTGGACGTTTAGTAAGAGAGAAAATATAAGAAACACATAGAAGACAGAGATGATGACAAAGAGGTTCCAGCCTCGGTTTGATCAATCCAAACAATTCTCTCTCGCGTGAGAGAACCGTTGTGTTATATGTTTTTCGCGGTCGTGGAAGTCGTAAAGTGAAGCGTCGTGGCTCGGAGATCGGGCTCGGTGAACTCTGGCCACGTGTAGCATATCAAGAATTCTATCAAGAGATACATATGATCATATTGATGGTGAGTGGTGATCAAGTCGATGCCAGATGTGTAACGAGGTCTAAAAGCCCAGTGTTGCGAGCGGGCCGCAAGAATACTGGTCTACGTTGCTTGGTACATGCACTACCTAGAATCTACAACCAATGGCCATGCATGACCTTTTGGAATATTGTACCATATATGCAATACGATAAAGTCGGCGTACGTATAGATTTGTCGGCCGCAGAGAAAATCGCAGGAGAAAGTGGATATGATTACGTGTGGGAACAACGGAACCGACATCCACGGAATACGGAAACAAAAAGACGAAAAGTGGACTTCAAATTGAAGCAACGTGTCGACCTCATGTGTGTCCACCCTCTGAGAACTGCTACTGAACCTATGACGGATTATTCTTATTATCACTATCATGTATTATTGCCTCAATTATTATTATCATCATTATTATTACCATTATTATATATAATTATTAATTATCGGCTATATCCGTGCAAAAAAAAGTGTACATACATTAAACTGATGTAGAACAAGAGACGGTTGGGAGCACCCGAGAGGGGACGCCTGGAGAGAGGCTGGAAACTCGAGCAGACTGTCGTGGGAGTTTCCTCCTTGTGGTTACGATTGCCGATCGTCGCCGTATTTCGATCGGGTGATCGCACTGTCCCTCCCTGAAGATTCGACCGATCTTCGCAGGATAGAGCAGCGGTTCTACACAAATTATCACGCAGACTCTTAGATCAGTCAATTTTCGTTTGCGGTGCAAATTTTAAGAAACAAGAGGAGTAATCCGATGCACTTCTATGGGTTCAAAAATTTAGACATAGAGGTCGTCATTTCATCCAATGACGCGGGACGCAGTCCAAGTGCTGCACCTTCGGTGCCCCACGTCAGCCGAATGAGAGGAAACAGACACCATGATATTTGTCGGGTGTAATTTCGCTCCTTTTGAACATTGAGAATTCGATGAGTTTTCAACCTGAAGTCTTCAAAACCCTGATCTCGTTCGTCACTCGAAGCTTAAGAGCAATGCGCCGCGAAAAAGAGGCGACAGAGGCGAATCTAAATGGGAGGCGAAGAGTAGTAACTCAATTCATTCGTGGAAACTCGCTATCGATGTTATTTTTCTAATGTTCTGTGCCATCATTATCGCCTTAATGCATTACTTCAAGCTTGGATATATTCCGATATTATCAGAACTTCTACAAAGAGCGAACGCTCGTCTTCTCCTGACGAAGTCAAAATCATTCAAGATTTTTTTTCTCCCTGGAGGGTCCTCTATTATCAAAAATCAAAAAATCTCCAATATCACTGGAATAATATGTGAAAGGAGAATGTGAGTAAGGGAGAAAGATGAGTTGCGGTAATGGATGGAGAAAGGAAAATGTGACGCTGATTTTGAGTGTCGGCGACAATAAGTCGAGAATGAGGATAGCCCGGAGAGGCTCTACCGACTGCACTAGCCACTTAGAGCGCATCAGTGGCCCGGAAATCGCGGGAGATCAGAAGACCAACGAGCCGTCTTGACGGAAATTCCAGGTCTTGACGAACTACTCCAGAAACCACGGGGAGTTGCTGACTGAAATTGTCATGAATGGGATCGTGAAACGGGAAACAAACTACAGAGACAGATGTACGAACGGAATAATAAAACACATGTTTTCTCGTAATAAACCGAAGCGTAATTCCTCTTTATATCCCGAACCTCTGGCAGATTACGAAGTCGAAAACTGAAAGGACTGATCGCAAGCTTCGGCCGGAATATCTTTCGCGCGCCAGATCTTCGATTTAAATCTTGGAGCTATTGTCGGAAGTCGGGGCCGTCTCAGGAAGTCGAGCTCCGTGACCGCATAACACATCGTGAGCTTGAGGCAACCGTGAAATTTCACTCGCAGTCCACGAGAGCAGATCCAAGCTCCCAGAGCTTACCTGGTCCTAATTACTGAAAGAGCTCGCACGTCCTCATGAGCGCAGCTCGCGGCGAGTCAGAACTTATTTTACCTAGAAATGCATATTCCGTTGTTTCGGGACCAGCATGAGATTGATGGATATTTTTGGTTAGACCTCCGGTTGGCAAACAGACGAAGCAGCTGCCGGCTACACGCTGTCACCGAGGGGAAGGGCATCACAAGAAGGAGGAGGGTCCCTCGAAGGGTATGCCTGCGCGCGCGGACCCGCGAACCCGAGTCCAGGGCACGGAGACAGACCTACCTCCTCCGAGCGGCGAGCAGGCAGGCAGGCCCTCTCGACGACGGCCCGGCCAAAGATGGCCGCCGACATCCGTAAAAAGTCCACAAACAGCAAGTGCAATGACAAGAAAGCAAGAATGAATCCGTCGGTCGCAAAAATGCGATGGAAGCTGCTCGCAAAAGCCCTGCACGAAGGACGGGTTAGCGAAGCTGGCTTGTTTTTCGAGTCGGTCCGACGATTTCAAAATTTCGGTCTATTGCAAGTTAGTTCACTCGCCGACGACAAGCAGGAAATGCACGCGAGTCGCATGATGCAGGACGAGAACGAAACGGATGCTTCGTGGTTTGCAGTGAAGTGCCTCAAGGAACCGCAATTCTCACTGAAAATGCGCTTCCTCGCCAAACGAATAACCGCAAATGACCTCCACGGCTTCAACAACACGGGCAACATCTGCATTTGGCCTTCCGAAGAAGTTATGGCATACTACGTGATGAAGAACAAGGAGCTATTCCACTGCAAACACATCCTGGAGCTCGGCGGAGGCATGACATGTCTCGCTGGCTTCACGGTGGCGGCCGCGGCACGCGCCTCCGAAGTATTCCTCACCGACGGCAATCAACGCTGCGTTTCAAACGTCGAAAAAATACTCGAAGCCAACAAAGGCAAATTCGGCAACTGTTCCATTCATATCCGAAGACTACGTTGGGACGAGGAGAACGACATGAATGATTTGCAACAACGTTTCGATGTGATCCTGATCGCGGATTGTCTCTACTTTGAAGAAAGCCGCAGAGCGTTAGTGCAGACAATATGGAACGTTTTGAAGAAGGACGGCATGGCTGTCATTTTGGCACCGGCCAGAGGAAACACATTCCAGGACTTCGTCCGGCTCTCAGCGGAAGTTGGTTTCGAAACCGATCTGATCATGGCGTACGACACTTGCGTCTGGGAGCTTCACTCTCGCTACCTCAAAGAGAAACCTGAACTCTACGATGCCAATCTCCATTATCCCCAGATGCTCATCATAAGGAAGTGCTCTATTTGACCTCGAAAACTCAACGACCTCAGATATATCGATTGTTCTACCGCAGTACCGGCTCATTTGAACGTTCGTTTTTCTACGTAGACTCACTGAGTTAGGTTTGCATCATTCAATGATCGGACCAAGACTTCAACGTTCAAGACGCGTAATTTTCGAGGCGGCTCCGTTCTCGATAGCGCCGCGGCGAGCTGGGACCTTTGTCGCTCAGCTCGGTGAGAAACCTCGAGAGTGTTATGATTCACTTTTGGACCTCATGCTGCCGCCGTCATCTATTGACCGCAGCTTCTATGATCCAGACGATATCTTCTTTATATACTCAGATCGTTAAAGTATATAGTATTGCGTATACTCTATATTCTATACGAGGATTCGGTATTTGCTGTGTCGGGATGGGCTGGTTATCTTGTTGATTGTCCGAACCGGCGACCTGCCGGGAACTTGGAAAAAGTTTCGATGTTATCGCATCCTATTACGGCTCCTCGAATGGGAAGAGGGCGGGGGTCGGTTCTCGGCAGTTTTTGGCTCCACAGGGATAACTAACTTTGTGGTCGATATCCTTCCGATCCTTCTGGGATTCTTCGCTTGTTTGTAGTCAACTCTCTCCGGAGTTTCCCTCAGTCTCACTTCTGCGACTGAGCGAGCCACAAGAACGAACTGGAAATAAATTTTCACGTCCGGCCAATACCAGCTGAGCCTTTTTCTTCGATTCATCCTCCTTCTCCGCTGTGCGGATGCTTATTGTAGGCCTCGCCGGAAATTTTCTTCGGCCGCTCTGTATCCTATGGGGCAGGTCGGGAGTCTCTTGGAATTGCCGATTTCAAGACAATGTACGAAAATGCCGATTATCAGGTCTAACGAAGAATACATCGCGAATGAGTAACTACAAAGATCGGCAGTCTCGTTCGCAGTCTCAGTTTCATTTATTTATGGTACGGTAGTCACAACAGCCATATACGTCCGGTATGACGATATCGGCTCGAGGCTCGTCTCGCCGCTATTTACACAAGGAGGTCGATTTCGAAACTATTATTGAATTAATAATAATATTATTATTGACTAGATTGGGAGAGGCTTGTGAATGCTAACATTTAAAAAATAGCGGTGCTTGAGAGCTTCAAGCGCACTGACCCGTTTCGAGGGATTCAGAACTAGCATTGATGCTATGAGATTTCTACCGTCGGGTGACAGGTGGGGAAGGTGGTTCTCGACGGATTTGGCTTGCCATTTCGGGAATGTGGGTTTGTAGTCCGGCATTTCAGTGACTCCGGGCCAGCTACTCTCATTGGGTGTTCCTAAAATCCTGAATATGCGGAAGAGTTGATCAATTTCTGAATCACCTGCAAGAAGACACAGTCACAGTCAAGAAGCGATCGCGGATTCGAGACGTCCCTACAATGGTCTTCCCGAATCAATCAGAACATGGGCAAGGCTCGAGAGAACGAAGGCGATTCGATTCGGGCGTGTATTCTGGCTCAAGGTCCATTCCACGCAGAAATCCAGAGCACGCAGATCGAGATATTTTCAGAACTTGGAGCTCTCGAGCAGCCCCGACGAGGATTTCAGGCAAGGAAAGGTCGCGATTCTCCACGGCAATGTGTCGGAGAAGAGTTCGGGCAGTCCCTTGGCGGCAGCCCAATGACGACCAAGGAATTCAATACTAGACTCCATTGAAAACAGCTCCAGAAGAGTGTCTGAACCTGCCACATTATGATGTGAGGCATAATGGGAAAAAGGGATCTCGATAAGGTTTCCTAAAGATCTCGGATCATTCCGAGTCCGGAAGGGGAAGGAGAGCCTGGCACAGCGTAGGATAAACGCTTGGAGCTCCTGGGTGTCCACTGACAGTCGGGGCAGAGCACCGTATGCTCTGAGACTGTTTCGCGTTAAAGATTAGCTAGGTGAGCTTCGCCGCCTAGCTCGTTTCCTTTCAGAAGCGTCGAAGGGGCAGACTGAGGAGGGAGACGAGAGAGCTCTCCCGATAAATGGCGGAGAGATTAACGTCGCGCGCGTCGGAGGCCAGTTTAAGCGTTCCGAAACCGATAATTTCGAGCACCACTCACCAGGGAATAGACAGACCAGGTTGCTCATCTCAGCTATGATTGTTCCTAAGCTCCAGATATCCACCACCATGTCATATAATTTGGAGCCGAGTAGAATTTCTGGCGGGCGGTACCACAACGTTATAACTTCATGGGTGTATTGGCGGGCAGGCAGGTTGAAAGCGCGGGCCAACCCGAAGTCGGCTAGCTTTATGTGTCCTGTAATCGAGAGAATCATGAGGCTCTATGAGACCGCGGAAAAAAGCTCCGGACGGAAACGGAGGTTCCGGACACACGGATGTCTCGCTCGGTCCGATCTCAAACCTACCTTGGGAGTCGATGAGGAGATTTTGCGGTTTGAGGTCCCGATGTAAAATCATGTGCTGGTGGCAGTAATCTAGTCCTTGAAGCAGCTGCCACGCGTAGCCTTTTATCAACTGTTCACTCAGTCGAGTCTTGCTCGAAATGGCGCGTTCGAATAAGCGTTTCAGGTCACACGTCATGAATTCGAACACCAAGTACAGACTGTTCGAAGAGGGTATGATGTCCAGGAGTCTGACAACGTTCGGATGCTTAAGATTCTTCAGAGTTGCTATTTCTCTCAAAGTTGTCGATGGGACTCCTTCTAACTCCTTGTCTAACCTGGAATTTTTTGAAACCAATAAATTCATCGATCATTGGAATTACCTCCATGGAGCGCTCACAGTGGGGAGTTTACCAATCCGGTCGGGCGTCCAGGGTTTCAGGAAATCGGATGGAGAACGTAACCCGCAGGTTTCTCATCCCCTAGGGACAGCTCAATTCATACTTAGAATCCCGAAGTCTCTCTTACTTGATTTTTTTGAGCGCAACTGAGTCTCCGGTTACTGTGTTGTGTGCTTTGAAAACAACGCCGTAGGTACCTTCGCCGATCTTGGTCACGTCGTCAAAGTTTTCAATTTCCATGGTCCCGAATCAAGAGCAGCTTGGTACGTGCAGCTGCTTTCCGATCTCACACTCGACCGATCGAGATTTCCGAGAGAGTACTACAATCATATGCTGAGGCAGTAAAAGCGGCGACACACGACCCCCGCTCCCGCCAAGCGCGCCACTGAACAGGAATGGACGCATTCAACTTGGCGCCAAATTTAATCTTCTTGCACTCGAACGTCCGCTGCTGAGCCCAGTTCCTCGGGGAATTCCGGTCGGAGGGCGCGGTCATGTACCTGCTGAGCTTCTTTCACGCACGGGGAGCGCGGGAGAACTTCCGCAGTTGTGACGCGAAATTTCGCACAGGAAATCTTCCTCGCCCTTCCGCGGTCGAGACCTGCGGTGGAGCTTTCGCACAGGAATAATTCTGGTCGATTGACGGCACACATGACGTAGGAGAGGTCGCGTCGGAGAGGAATCCGTGGAAAGGAGGCATTCCCCTCAGGAGCTCCGAAGAATTATTACGATCGCTACTCTTGAGGCATCTGACACCGCTTGACGTTCTGACCTGTTGGCAGCTCAAGATCCGGGAGGAAAAATGCCTTGGAAGGTAAGATCGGCTCACTACTGTGAAGGATAGTCCTCCGAAGGGGGAACTGGCTGAGTCCTGGTTCCCCCTTCCCTCCAATCGCTTTTGCACACTACATTCGTGACCGTGTTGGCTGACAGTGGTGGTCGTGATGTGATGACTTGATGAGGTGCTTACGACGTTGCCAGTTTCGCCTGGATGACGACTGACGACCAAAGTTTTCCTGGACGACGGTATCCGCTCCACCATGGGCATTGAAAACGAACGAGCGTGACCATTCTGCCCAACGACGGCCACTGGGTCAGTGTGAGAGAACATCAAAGAGGGAAGACTGGGCTCTGAGCAAGGGCGTGAATCCCCTGAGTTTATCGCCCAGGCTTGATTTCACGGCTCCGGTCCTCGATTGCCTTCCCGCCTCTGATCACATCGCAATCTAGAGCGAGCGAGCAGCGCTCCGAGATCCACGGCCCGTATTACCGATCCCGATTGGGTTGGCCGGACTCCGCAGGTCGGACCAACCCCATATCGATCGGTACGAAGCCGTTCTGAACGTTCTTGCTTACCGTCCATTCTATACGGGGGTCTGAGCTCTTCAAGTCTTCTCGAACGCGGATCAGGGGATTATTCGGAACAGTTGTCCGAAAGCATCGAGGGCGACTATCTGTGTCAGAACGATCCTGGGCTCGCCCGAGACAGTCAGATCTATGAGTATTCCATCGATAGATATCTCGTTCCGCGGCTGAATCCACTAAGTGGGTCAATACTAATGCCCGGGAGGCTGTTCGCTAGGTGCTCCGGGAAGCTCAACGGGGCAAGTTTCGGATATTTGCGGCTGCGCCAAGCTCAACTTTGACTCCTTTGGAACGATCCCCTCAAGGACGCTCTAGGAGCTCGATACCGTCTCTCGATAGCAGATACTTTCCGTGGCTCATTTGTCGGGCCTGCACTCGCAGGCACCGAGACCTGTGGAATACCGACCGAGATTAGTGACCTATACTTTCACCTCTAACGAGCTTCAGCCGCGAAAATCCCTTCATCCAATCGGAACGCGCGAAATCCTGATTAAGAAGTCGGGAACCACTCAATCAATTCGAGAAGCTGCAGCGTCTACCAGGTGCCGGCCACTTGCCTGTCGGGCTTTCGAGTTTTCTCCTGGATCCAACTCGGTCATGTGCGATCGACGTTGAATTTCACTGAATGATTTTTTCCTCGGATCCTCGGACGGACGAATGATTTCCGGCGGACCGAACGCGAGCGGAAAATCACTTCTGTTGCCGACCGAAGATGCTGCTTGCGCAGACGATGATTTAGCAGCCTGGCTCGTCCGTTCGAGCTGTCCGTAATGAGCATCCGCTGTCTCCAAACCGTGTGGGAAACTTCCTCTTTCCTCCAAGAGAAAAACGCGAGTCATCTGTATGTTTTCATACTACGGCACTCGTCTCGCGTCGACAAATGATCCCACATACCGTTACCGACGAGAGGTGGCTCCATTGAGAAGCTGAACTCGGGTCCTAATGAGGATTCTCGTTTTTTTTTAGGCGAAACGGATTTTGTTTTGCGCGGCGTTGACACGAAATGTTCGGGTCGGCCAGCTGCCAGAACGTCAAAATGTCCGCGGTGTCGGAATGCTCTCGCTATTCGCCAAAACAGCAGCGCGAGATTTCGGAGCCGCCATGAAAGTTGTCAAAATTCAGACCGGTCAGGGTCTCTTCTTCCGGAGGAGTAAGAGCGTTGTCGACATATTCGAAAAGGTCGCCGCCCGCAAATCCGAAAAAGTCATGATGATCTGCGAGAACGAAACGTACAGTTTTTCCCGAGCTAAAAATACGTGGACCGTGTAGCAACCTACTTCAGCTCTCTGGGTTTGAAACGAGGCGACGACGTAGCCCTGTACATGGAGAACCGACCGGAATTCCTGCTGTTGTGGTTGGGTCTATCGAAACTCGGAGTCGCCACCGCTCTAATAAACAATCAGCTACAGAACGACCCGTTGGTGCATTGCGCAACCACCGTGAAATCGAAAGCAATCATCTACTCACCGAAAACTGCCGCAAACATCGAAGCCGTCCACGCGCGCCTACAGGAGAGGAATCCGAACCTTAGATACTATACCTTGGGGGAGCCGTCAGGGAGAATCAGCTCAGAAAACCTCGAGCAACTCCTGGAGGGAACGAAGCCGCAACCAATCAAAGGTGACCGAGGATTGTTCGATCCGCTAATCTACATCTACACGTCGGGCACCGAAGGACTCCCGAAAGCTGCTATCATTTCCAATGCGAAATTCATCTGTCTAGGAGTGGTCATCTACCACATAACGGGGATTCGTGCAAACGACATATTCTACTTGTGTCTCCCGCTCTACCATCTTTCGGGAGGAGTTGTCGGTGCCTCTCAAGTCGTCATGTACGGTTGTACGGCGGCGATAGCGCCGAAATTCTCAGCTAAGCAGTTCTGGGCTGATTGTACCCGGTACAAAGTCACGGTTGTTCAATATATAGGGGAAATATGTCGATATCTATTAAGCGAGCCGGTGAAACCGGAAGAAAGCAAACACAACATCCGCACCATGTACGGCAATGGACTTCGACCCCAGATTTGGAAGGAATTTCAAACGCGCTTCAAAATACCGTATATAAGGGAACTATATGGGTCGACCGAGGGAAACTGTAATCTCATGAACACGGACAATAAGGTTGGCGCCATCGGCTTCGTCCCCACCATCGCAAGATGTTTACCTCTGAACTTGACGAAATATATTTATCCGATTAAAGTTGTGAAACTCGACGATGGTGGCGCACCTCTCAGGGACGAGAAGGGCATCTGTGTTCAAATCAAGGAAGGTGAAGTCGGAGAAATCGTCGGACTCATATCTGAGAGAAATATCAATCGCTTCGATGGTTACGTAGACAAGAAAGCCACGGATAGGAAAATCTACAAGGATCTTTTCACCAAGGGGGACCAAGGATTCGCATCGTCAGATTTGCTTTACATGGATGAGTTGGGTTATTTATTCTTCGTCGATAGAACGGGTGACACTTTCCGCTGGAAGGGAGAAAACGTCTCGACCACAGAAGTCGAAGGTTAGTTTTTCAATTTTGACTTTTGATTGTACGGTCCATGGAATGTTTCGTAGATCTAATAATTCTGTTTAACGAGAAAAACGACTTCCAGGTGTCATAAGCGAGCTGTGCGCGAAGAAGGATGCCGTCGTTTTCGGCGTCTCCGTGGCACATTCTGAGGGCAGGGCCGGCATGGCTGTGATTGAAGACGATGGCACTCTGGACTTGAATCAGTTCCTTGAAAAGGCTAGGAAAGTACTGCCTAACTACTCCCTGCCCCTCTTCGTGCGCCTGGTGGAGCGTATCGATCGAACGTCGACTCACAAACTGAGAAAGAGCGATTACGTCAAGACGGGCTACCTGCTCGGAAAGCATCAGGATCCCTTGTATTTTCTGGACAATGGCAAAAACTACATCCGGCTAGATGAATCTATTCTGGAAGATATCGAAGCGGGTAGAAGGCGACTTTAGTTGAGGTCCCCAACGTTGTCAGTCGTGTTGTTCTGTCTCTCCTCGAGTGCTCGAGAATTTCTGTGGATTGTCCCTCTTGAGGATCGGAGTCTTGGTATGGATGTTGAATGCGAACTCCTATTTTTGGTATCACCCCCATCCCTGTACATAGTTACCCTGAACCACTCATGTCGATTTTTTATCGATCACTATCGGGGGAGCTCAGCGATGACACCGGGAAAATATTCCGATGAAACCCACCATGGTGCTAATCTTAAGGTTGTGGAAGTTGTTACGAACACCGAGCTCCTGCGAGGGAAAACACGGAATGTTGCGCTCTGGACGGCAAATATCGTCCAGGGTCGGCCTATGATAGATTTGTTTCCGTGTTGTGGAATCCTTTAGATCAGACTGATTGTGATATCCGAATTGACGATATCGACATGAGAAAAAACGGTGCTGCCAGATTCAGCTCAAATGCACTCGTTCGTCTCCATGCTCGGAGCGACGTAGATCGGCAACGGAAATCGGCGCATCTAAGAAGATAATCGGGCTTCTCCGAGTTAAATAAAGAGCTTTTATTCCTCAAGTACAAAATATTCAACCTCTCATCTGCTTGAATGGAAAACCCGGCTGGTGACTATACAAACTATAAATAATTATGTATATTCCATGTGATAATATACAGTTGGTGGGTATTCCATCCGCGAGCCTTCGGGCTGGCTATACATACAATTGCTTGTGTTGGGCAGCTGCCGACGCGACGCCAGCTTCCATGGCAGTCGATGGAGTGAATTCAATCCTCTCTACGGCACGGACTTGAACTTGAGTCAATTTCTCAACGGGGCCCCTATCTCGCACGAATGATCGTCAACGTGGATATGACAATTCCGATAATGGTAACGACTATACTGGCAGTGTCCACGGAAGCTCCCGCCAAGCGACATTTCATGCGTTCGAAACGGCTGGGCCTGTCCTCGACGAGCTTCTCGAACTCGGCTTCGACTATCTGACCGTCGAAGTAGGTGATCGGGTCATTGTACGGATACTCATAGCCTTGGAGGCACTCGCATTTGTAGCCGCCTTGATCGAAACCACGGCCCAGAATCGGGACGCACTGGAAGGAGTCTCTGCTTAGTTCTCGTGGAGAAAGCTTTCATGAGGTGATTTGATACGGAACAGACTCATCGTAAGTAAGCAAGCTTTACCCTCGAAGATTTCCTCTCGCACTTGTGAGTGTTCTCGAAAGCATTGTTCTCCGGAAACTTCGAGTAGTCCGGGCACTGGTTGATTTCCAATTGGTCGAGCTCAATGTTGACAGCAACGACGCCCCTGAGGGGAAGAGCGAATAAGTCATTAGAGTTTGCGTGCCGAAGATCATCATGTGCGACAGAAGAAAAAGCCTATTCTCGACGTCTCCCGTTGAAAATCGATTTAGAGACTCGTCTACTCACTTGAATTGGAGTCGAGCTCGTAGGCTGTCCCAGCCGAAGAACGGGACGGCGTAGGTAACTATCCAGGAATTGTGGTACCCACCGCAATCAAAATACGGAGAGGTCCAATAGCCATCTTTCACATCAGCTGCCTACAAGATGGATATCGGGGTTTTCAGTGACATCCAAGATGCTCCGAGGGAGAAGCACCGAGAGAACACTCAGCCCACCCGCCCCCCCCTATTCCCCCTCCCCCCTGATCGGAAACCTCGGAGTACTTACCTTGTACTGCAGCGGGTAGTGATCGTATTTGATTGCCGAATGACCGGAGGAATTGTAACGGATCTGAATTTTCGTGGTATATGTAGTGAGATCGTCCAAGTTAGCACTCCACTTGGTCCTCAGCAGCTGGAACCACTCCTTATTCAGATAATCTCGATCTCCGTTGGAGTTGGCGAAACGACCGGTGTCATCCACGAAATACTTCCGCTCGTTCCGTCCTCTGCAATGATGGAATGAGTTGCCGGAAAAACGGGGAGACTGGCCGGCTGAGACGCTCGGGAACATGGAGAGTCCTCGCATGAAAGATTGGAAGCGCCGAAACTACTTACAGACGCCACGCGTAAGGACCGAAATAGTTTCGGTCGGTGAAGGCCTTGTAGTCGAAGTAGACTCCGGCTCCGACAACTTTCTGGTCGCCGATAACGATCGACATCACCTCACCGATCATCTGATCAGCGGTCAGGGGTTTGTCTGGGACTCTGAACTCAGCGAACAGGTCCTTGGGATCGACAATCTGCATGAAACCTGATATGAAGTTGGCCAAGCGCACGGCCATTCGGGCCTCGTTCTCCAGTTGAACTTCCTTGCCGTACACGACATCTCCGCCCATGCGCAGGGCGTCGGGGTGAGCAGCACGGATTTGGGCGCAATTCTGAGCTCGCACGCTCTTCATCCTCTTCAGCATCGACAGGGGATCGATCCGAGTGCCGTTACTGATTCCGTCTATTGCCATGTAGTTCGCAAAACGTCCGATGAGTTCCCAACGCTTGTGTTCCGGTACCTTATTGACATTCTGAGTCAGAACTCCGATGTAGCCGATCTTGTCGCAGCTGTAGCCGTGTTCGTACTCGTATTCAGATGCTTTTTCGATGAGTTCTCCGTGATAGGGATTGCGGACTATTTTGGGTCTTCTGTAGCCCGGTTTACATCTGTGGGAGGTGGATTGAGATTGGTGGGTATGGCGAGGATTTCTCACCCCATTGACAGATCGATCTCCGCTCTCTAGCGACGATCTGCGACCACCCGAACAGCGCTGAATGAATTCGATATGTTCCGAAAACACGATTGCATAGCCTGTCTGTACCTGCATTGGTATCCTCCTCGACGAAAGCCGTATCCGTGAACAGGCTCGCAATCTGTCGTTTCGTTTTTGCATCTCGATGTGCCGGCGAAATAGTTTGGTCGCGGGTTACCGGGACCGAAGGGACATTGATTGATGTCGATCCTCTCGAAATCGAGCTCCATAACGGAAACGGCTACATAACGGGGGATCTCGATATGCCGCCACTGCGTATGACGCGGGTAAATGTCCGGGATCGGTGCTGGGAATGGAAACAACACTTGTCAACTCGAAAGATTCGAGGCCTCGTTCGAGGGACATGGGGATGGGCCGCTTCGAATAGAGAAGACCTCTCTTGTTGAAATGGATACTCACAGGTAGCGCCATATACCCATTTGTCCGACCTGCCGCAATCGAAATAGGGTCTGACCCATTTCACTGGTCCCGGATTGTCGTTGGCAGCGGGGGGTCCGTGCCAGACGAACGTGTCGTTGTTTCCAAAAAAGTCTGTGATCTGCACCGTATAAGTCGTCTTGGAATCCTGACGTTTGGTCAGATCCGGCAGCCAGGACGAGTACCATTCGTTTATTCGGTACTGGTCGCTCGAATAATTGAGCGAAGGTGAATCCGGAGGGATCGCTCCGAGATCAGTTGCTTCGATCGTATTCAGCGTTGACGTTCCTTCTAAGTGGTACGGATCATTGAAATCGTCCGACCTGTTCATGGAGATCCTCCGTTAGAATTCTCATCGCGAATTTCCAAGTGCCAGACACTGCTCGAATCCGATATGATAAGTCGAATATTCGGTGAAACTCACCGGAATGCCCGTGGAGCGAACAGAGGCATTGTCTTATTGAAGAAACCTTTGTAGGAAGGAGTGAAAGACATGTTTGGGGCATAGTATATAGCCGAAGCGTTGATGAATCTATTGGCTGCGACGTCCGATATCACCGACATGAAGTAGTACATGAAGCCAGGCTCGTCATTATCCTTGGCGCGTTGGAGAATGAAACTGAAACCGGTAAGCTACCACTCATGCATCCGTTGGTACGAGAAGATTCGAATGCCTGCAAGATCTCGGTCTCCACCTCCGGCTATGTTTTCGCGATCCGAACGTATCGAAAATGAGCATTCCTTGTCCATTCGCGAGAAGGAACGATCGACGAGACCCCGACGTAGCCCCGACGTTTTGACGTCGCTAAGCGACGTCTCCGCCTCTCGGGAGCCGAAGTGTCCCCTGCTAAGAGCATCAGATCTTGATCTCTTTTCGGATACCGTCTTGGAATGGATTTTCTGTCTCCAGGGGAAAAGAGGTATTCCCGACTCTGAGAGGGTTTTGGCTCCCTCGTTCTGTAAATTATTCCAAGCCTCTCACCTGAGGAAAAATGCTTTGCTAATGGCCATGTTATGAATGTGCAGAAGGTTTGTCCTATTCGGAAACACGGGATCGATGTTGAGTCGCTTGATATTCGGGACGTGAGTGACGGTATCATTAGGCAAGAACAGCTCGTTGATGTCCTGGATCTTGCAATTTTGCTGCGAAACTCTATAGTATTTATCTCGGATGTCGTCGAACGCATCGCGATCCCGACTGAACTGAGCTGTCACTCTGATGAGGAACACGATCAACAGGAGGCACACGGCTTTCACGAGAACATTCATATTGACTAGGTAGCTTTCAACTATTGCGAAACATTCCCTAACCCGCCGATTCAGACCCTCGGAACCTGAATTTCGGGATCTTCGTCAGACGTGCGGTAACGACGCGGCGCTTCTGGGAGAGAACGTCAAACGCTCGGTCGCCTTGACGACGGCGATACACACCTCAGCCGTTTTGTGGAAGAAAACGTTTACTTCTCTTTATTCGCGGGGAATGGGAGGAAAGTCTCTGGAATTCCGCGTTCCCCCCATGTTTTGATAGAGATTCGCACTGCGAGACTTGAGATCCGCCGCTTCTCGAGAGATCGCTCTGCACTGCGGTGTCTCTCCACAACAGGTGCCTCTTTCACCTACCCCTGTAGCGTGACAGCTCCGCTTCGCTCTCCGGTTCGCCACCATGCCTGCCATTCCGGACTCGGATTCCATTCGTGGTGTTCCGATTCGGGTACAGGTCCGTCTCGAAAAAGTCTTCAATAATTATCAGGGAATTAGGTCCTAGAATTGAAAAATTGCGCGAGCTTTTTCGTGCGCTGCTCCTTCGGCTCTGAAACATCAGGGGGAAACGCGCCGGTCAGATACCGCCGGCGTGAGTCATGCGCCGCATGGACCACCGAATTCGGGGATAGGGTTCGAGAGATTCGCAACCGACTCGTCAACGCACCCGCATAGCTTCGAATCCATGCAGGCCACCCAAGTCAGCTCTGACCATTCATGTTGGCCTCGAGCATCGATCTTCCTGACGGCAAGCGGCCGGAAAGCTGCTGTCTTCTGTCGCCATTCCATCGACGGCTCGGTGCTTCGTTCTCCTTCAACTCCTCCTCTCTACGGTCATGCCGATGCGACTAGTGTAAATCCCTCCATCGATGAATCTCTGTATTTCAGTCATCGTCCGGATTCAATAGGCCGGTAATTATCGTCTCCGCCATTGTACTCGATTTATTGGTTTTAAATTAATGGGAATCGGGCATTCCGTCGGTTCGGCTCTCTAAGATGAAGTTTCCACCCCGTCTACGGAGGTGAGGACAACGCGTTCAAAAGCTCGCATCCATCGTCGCTTGACCACCGATTCGTGCTCTCAACTCATATGCATTTAACTAGTTGGCAGCGTTCTTTTCCCAAATAGTCGGAGTCGGCAGAATCTTCCACCAAACGTGAGCATCTCCAAAGATCCAGCAAGTTGTCTCAATGGAGACGAACGCTGCCTAGAGATGCTTCCAGAGCCTGGAATAGAAAGTGAGGCTCAGCGGGAAGGCAGATATGATCATATGAAATCATGATCCGCGATGATCGCGCTACACGTGGTCTAGGAATCATGCAGCTCCCAAGCGGATCTTCAGGTAATCGGAACCTACTTTGACATCCCAGACGATCAGTTTGCTATCGACGCCGGATGTCGCGAATTTGCTAACTTTATCGCCCTGATTAGAATGCACTGTGACCGATGAAATAGTGTTCTGATGAATGGTGGTCATCACGGTGCCGATGTCTGGTCCAGCCGTGCCAGAGTCTAGCGAAAGTTTGTCCATGTCTCGGAACTTCCGCATAGCAGACACGTTCCCCCCAGCTTCTGTTTTCTTCTGTTTGTCGAGTGAAGTAACGAACGTCAAGGCATTGTCGTTGACTTCGAAGAGCAAAGGACAGCAATCGTAGCCCTGGATGAAGGAAAGGAACGAAATGAGCTCAATCTGTGGCTTCCAGCCCTCAGGACGCGCCTTCCGACCCCCTTCGGTTCGGAGATGACCCACTTACCGCCGCTACGACCTTCAGTGGACTTAGCCATAGGCATTTCAGGAGGGGTAGACCGGATAGGCTCAACGAAGCGACCTTATCCCCCCCAGCGGATGCGACAGCGATGGAACTGTCGTGTGACACCCAAGCGACCCGGTTTCCATCAGGGGAAAAGGACACACCGTGAACCCAGCCTCCGGAGGGGAACTCGGCCATCAGTTGACCCAGAGGCATTCGGGCCCCCCAAGGAGTTGGCTCCGGCTTGTCTTCGATTTCTTTGATGTACGCGGAAAATACTCGAGTTCTGCAACGCAATTTCTTTGGTTTAGACCCTGCCTGCAATGCGGGCGAGGGTACGGGAGAATGTGGGTAAATATCGATCGGGTAGTTCGGATTCTTGGGGCATATACCTGAAATCAGTAGAGCCGGTGGCGAGCAGGACGTTGTTCGGGTGCCAATCCAAGCACGAGACGGTGCTTTGAAGCGGTTTTTTGATATGTTTTGACAGCCACCAATTGTTTGCATCGTCGATATAGCAGACAGAGACCAATTTCGCTCCTGAACCCACGGCGAATTTGTTTTCTCTCGGTGACCACCTCACGTATGTCGCGGCTCGGTTGATTCGTAAATGCACGAGGACTGGCTCCCTGGAAGAGTCGACGAAAGGGTCGAATCGGATTCACCGGTTCCATTCTCCGGGAGAAAAACAGACTCATGACTCTGGCAGCCGAGACGGGAGATTACCATGTTTTTCCGTCCCAGTTCCATACGTAACCGTTCCGATCGGCGGAGCATGTGACTATCCGATTTGATTTGGGCGCCCAATCGATGGAAGTCACCCGGAGATCATGTTTCGTCAGAGTTTGAATCGGACTCGCCTTCCAGCCCACTTGATCTTTCGCGTAGATTGCGACGTCGTTGCCATTCAACGCGACCGCTACCTCTGAATCAAAAAGGCGAACGCTAACATTCCGAAAAATACTCAAGGTACACGGGATGATATTTGTTATTGCTGGGGAAGATCAAGGTTTCAGGGATACTCACGAGAACGATCCTTATTGAAGGCATGACAGCTGACTGGATCAACGCCGAAACTGTGTATATCAGCCATAATTTATCTGGAAGTATGATAGGCTCTTGTCAAATCCCTGATGCACGATTGAAAAGCGTCTAGAGCAGAATCAAAGACCAATCGTATCGGTCCAAGTGCTTGGATAGAGTTGTTAACCCATGCGGAAAATGACTCAGCTGAGTTACGCTCGTAATGCCATATTCGTCAGCTTCTCCGATTACTCCTCGACCGCACTGCCTTGGATATAATTCTTCTCGCGTTCTATACTGACGCAGAATTTCTCGAACCGATAAGAAAGAAGGTTCCTCAGGAGACATGATGCCAAATTTGGAGCCTCGAATGAGGATTCTGTGCCGTTCTCTGTACGACCTGCCGGAAACCTAGCTCGGCGGCCGCCATAGATTCCCCTGCTTCGGATGACCTCGAGCAGCTCAATCACTTCCGCGGTACGGGAATCTCAGGGAAATCGGACCTCGCATTTCATTGGGGGTCAACAGCGAAGAGAAGAACGAGTACACTCCGGTGTTGGCACTCAGCGCTCGGCACTCGAAACTCCGAGTATTGACCGGAATCGTACTCACGGATCTGGGGTCGTATTGGCGAGGGGTAGACTGTTTCCGATACTTCCGGGCTTAGATCAAGCCGAGCGGCACCCCTCGTCCACGATCACTTCGGAAAGCTTGCGATCCCACTCACACACGGCTGGTCTTGTTGTCTTGTTGTTCTTTTTGACAACTCCCACGTCGGCTGCTAGCTGAGTAAGCAAGTGCTTTGCCAGCGCGCCAAATTTCAAAGCTACGATCATCTGACAGCTCCGCTTCACGGATGCCTAACGATCCTAGAGTGGATTACGGGAACGATCAGGGTCGTTGGGGGGACTGGAGAGGTGCTAGGCTGGGATATATACCCAGCGCTGAGTAATTAGAAGCTCCTGTCCTCAAGCACCGGAGAAGACTTCACTCCGATGGTCGCGACCAGACTTCCGTGAAGCCGTCAGGAGGGTGACCGTGCGACCTAATGGGACCGTGCAATCGCTAAAGCAAGTGATACACTGCCCCCGGAGATCAGAGGTCCATTTGTGGGATACGCCTCTTTCCTCTCCTGGTCCCGTGGGATGTGTAGCTGTATTAGGATAAGCATTCTGATGATGCCGCATCAGGTTGAGTAACCTTGGAGTCAGCGGGCGGAGCTCAGACTTTGCGAGTACGCAGACACACGATCCTGAAGTCTTCCCGAGCACTCCCGAGCTCGGAAAAATGTTCTCTAGACCTTCGTCCACTTCTGAGATATTTTCTTCACAAAAATTCCGTGAGGCTCAGGTACGACCGCGGTCTCGACAGGATGAGATAGATGATATTCCAATTCCTGCGATGGTCGAGAATAGAGTCTAGCTCCTCTGGGGACGAGCTGAGCCCGTCGGGCAGCATCAAATCTAGATATCGCCCCCGAGAGCCACAAACCGGCTTGTCGAAGTCATCCCGACATGGAATCCAATCCTCCGGTGGTCCTGTTCAAAACTATACTACGTCGAGGGAGCTGCCGAGGGAACCCCGGAGTGAGTTTCGATTCTTCCGATGCTGGACGCAGCCCGTTTGAGTCACGAAAACCTGCTGTCTGCTACCGTCACCAGACATTGCCGGCTCGGAGGATTCGGAGATAGTTTCGGCAAATCTTCCATCACGGCCAAGGGGCATCATCTTAGGAGAAGAAGAGAGGAGCCGTAGATCCCTGTACGATTCTGATTCCATCGAGCCGGCGCCGTTATCACGGAATTTATTCCTCGTTGCGTTATCGCAAATCGTCTCGTTTGCCTCATTCAATTAGAAGTCGCAATTATGCGGTAGCAATCGAGCGAAGGTCTTACGGAAGGTGAGGTTCAGCACTCTGTCTGACGGGCGCTTCCGCTGGGAAACAATGGTCAATATAGCGATGATTACTACACGTCACGTGTACCTCGATGCAGCAAGTCATCGCTACCTTCTCTCACGCCCTACCCGACTTTTCCGCTCCTGAGTATATGCTGCTCCAGTTCGATCACCCAGGCTGGAACTGACAGCTCTGCATCATGATGATTCACATCGCGCTTCTGCTCGGCATCGCTTTGTCCGCTGCTCTCGACGGTAGGTTCGAACCCTCAGGATAATTTCGGAGTCTTGCTCCGCCTCTCCGCTTTCTCCTTCTTTCCCTGAGGACAGCCTCTGCGGAAGATTGGAGTCTATTCCTGAAGGGGCTGCGAGGAGTTCAGGATTCGCTTCAGTTTAATCCACTTAATCAATGAACGCTGACAACGGATCGAGTAAGACAGACCCCCCGCAAGTGAGTGATTCGGTGTGGGGCGATGATAGATTATTCCTTTTCTTGAAGCTGATGACTGCCTGGACTTCGAGGAATTCCATCGAGGAATCGAGGGGGACTGTGCTTCATGCGAAGGTCGTTGCGATGGCGGAATGATTGTGCACACAGAATGTCCGGACGGATGTCACAGCGGCTGTCGTTGTCGCGAACCGCTGATCAGAGACAGTAATGGTCAATGTATCTTACCCGCAAACTGCATAAAATGGCTCCCTATGTAAGAACAAAGTTCAAGGCCCCAAAAAATTGATAATTATCAGAGGCCTGCTGATCAGACGAATAAATTATCCTCACGTTGGCGTTGCGCATTTCCTCCGTTAGCCTGACTGACAAGCCCTGCATTTCGTACCCCTTCCCAGCAGGCTCCGAAACCCGGAAAAAACACCATTTACATTGAAATCCGGGATATTTTTCTCGGATTTTGATGGAAATGTTTTTTCCCCAGGTTCCGAAGCCCGGAAAGACCCATTCCCATCGATATCCGAGCAAAATATCCCGGATTCCGATGTAAATGGTGTTTTTTCCGGGTTTCGGAGCCTGCTGGGAAGGGGTACGAAATGCAGGGCAGCAGGGAAAAACGACTCGGGGTTGCTCCGGGGCTCGGAAACTTTCAGAAAAGCATGTCAAACCTGGTGATTGTCATTTTCAAAAAAGAATGTTTACTTGTGAGAAACCGAGAGAATGATTCACGTCCGCGTTCCGAATGAATGACCTTTGTCCAGCATCACATTTCATCGAGCGCCTCACCTTTGGAATCTTTGGTGCACGGCTCCGGAGATTTGGGTTTTTCCGAATTTATCGTTCCCGATCTCTTTGAGAATGTATCGCTGATTCCTTCGGTCGTTTCTCGGAAAGGCCGAGTACAAGAAGATTGGTCGCCTTCAAGACTGATCCGTCGATCGTGGAAATGGTCTATCGAACCAGATGCCAAATTCGGATTGTTCTCAACCACGGCCCGGGACTCGAATGCGTGTGCATATGTACAGGGCCGACGCAAAGGAGTGCTCGATCAATCAACACAACCGGTCGCTCTGAGCGTGATGATTGGCTTCCCATCCCCAGAGGAAGGTGGATGCCGCCAAACAACGTCCTAGATGGAACCTTTCATGCTCAGACCGGTACATTCAATGCTTTCGAAGGATTCCCGAGCCCGGAAGAGACTTGTATCCGCTCGAGCTCCGTTATTTTGCGATCCGGGGTGATCTTGACTCTTTGCTCAAGCGCCTGAGCTACACTCGATCGACTTGTAAATGAAGCTCACCATCGCGAATCGACCACAACCCCAAATGGGGGGCGGAGGCGACTTTCTGGAGTTCTTCTGACGATTTCGCGGGATCGAGCTGCGTGTTTACAAAATACGCCAAGAGGTTGAGCGAAGCGTCAGCTCCATCATGATGTCATCTGGAGGAGCCATCCTCACCGAGAGCCCGACGAGATCCTCATCAGAGCACCTCGCAGCGACACATTTGGTCAGTCTGGAATCATTAACGACGTCGACTAGAACTCCGAAACCACACGGGGCTCGATTCTCTAACGAATATTCATCTTTCGAAATCACGGAAGAGTCTCAGGAGGTCCCAGGCTACCACCCGACCATTGGTGGATGAAGTGACCGTTGAATTGGGGTCTCCTAGCTCTGAGCGTTTCGAAATTCTCGGCGTAATGTTACGTCTTTGGGCATACCCCGGAGTACATTTCCCAGATTTTCTGTTGGCAACATCGCTAGCAGGAGCGGTGTTGCCACATGAATCTTTCCGATATAATTCATCTCTCTTTCTTCTCGAAATGCCCCTCGCCGCGCTGGCGATGTCCGATCGTGAAATCTTTCCAAGCACCAGAAACTCCGGAATTGCGATTCAAGTCGGGACATCTCTACGTGATCATGAAATCGCTTCTGGTACTCAGTTTCGCTGCGTTTTGTGCGGTTTCAGGAGCCGTCGAGGGTGACGACGCGACTAGGAGGTGTCTGGATTGTATCTGTTATGTGAGTTGAAGCCGCTTCAAAGCCACACGATGGGGATCGGATTTCCTCCGACCCTCTCTGCGCTCCGATGTGGACGCCTATCTTCGGCTCGCTTCTCATCGGAGCCAAGGACCGCTCCTCCCGAAATCCGCGGTCCGGGACGAGTTTGGGCTCGTTATAGTACTCATGTCCTTATCAAGGGTTGGAAATAGACGGGCTGACTCATTCACGGGGTGAGGGCCTTCTGGACCTTTCGGATTGGCGTTCTGACTCTTTCCGAGGCAGGGCGTCTCATTTGGGGAAGAATGTGCGCCGGGATCTCGATGGCAGAGCCGGACTCCGACAATTCGAACGTCATCGCTCTCCCGGAGCGCATCCGCGAGAGCGCCTCAATCGAGACAATATCCACGGGTGCTTGTCTTAAATATAGTCTGGGAAGAAATCTTGCTCTATCGAGGAGCGTCTGAATTCGCTTCCGAAACTGAGATTCTGATGAACTGATGAACATATCTTCTATTCTAGGCGAGTACGAAGTGCGATCCTAAAGCCCAATGCAATGCCTACTGTGGTCCTTTCCAAATCTCTGACGCATACTGGATCGATGCCGGGAAACCCGGAAGCTCAATCGGTGGGAGAATTTAACCGGTGAAATTTTTCCTCCACATGAACTTCCTCCGGACAAAAGTTCGGTCACTGAAGTTTTTTATTGATCCCTCAGGTTTCGCTCAATGTGCCCAAGACAGAGCGTGCGCCGAAGAAACTGTCATCCAGTACATGAACAAGTGGGGCACGGATTGCGACAATGACGGAGCGGTCACCTGTGCAGACTACGCGAGAATGCATAAAGCTGGAAGAACTGGATGCCAGGCTCCGTGGGTCCTCGAAACTCCATACTGGAGGCAATTCAATCAGTGCATGGGCGGAGGTGTCACGCTTGATGCTCGAGGCCGTTGAGAATAGAATCGAAATTCCTTGATATCTAAGCAATGGAAAATAACCGTAGCTGATAATAAGGAGAATATTCCATGGAGCTCTTCGATAATAAATGTGTATATTTGGTATAAATTCTTTTTCTCTACATATATATACACTCCGCACCGTGAGCTAGACCATTAATGAATCGATCCCTTGTGAAGATGCTCTTAGCTCAGCCAACACTCCCCTCCGCATGGGAGACCGTGAAGGAACACGTCTCGAAACCCGAGCTCCCACTTTCGTTGTCGTCTTTCTATACCGTAGCTTTCAAAACAACCCTTGAAAATCGACGAAGCATGGAACAGAGGATCGTCTCAAGGGTTCTGAAAAAAGCCGCAAGCGAACTTGATACAGCAACAGAGCGTTCGGCGAAAGAGGTGCCAGGGCCTCTGGCGAATCCATTTCGAGCGTAAACTCAACGATAAACTAGGATACAGTTCGTCCGGACCGGATAACAAAAGCAGATAAAGCTGTCGATTCGAAACTCAACAAGAAATCATGGATGAGCGATGGAACAGAAGAACTCAGATCTCGCCGAGACTCCGTCTCTTCAGGATCTCGATACTCGCGATCGTTCTACTCTCGATCGGGTCCGATCTTCACAGTCAGAGTCTCCGGATTCGAGAACCGTCGATTTGCCTGGGAAACGGCCACGATTCCTAGCCCGATCAATTCGACTGTGACCATCACTCAACGCGACTGAAACTCACTCTAACGGGACCAGGAAAACTCGCTTATAACGCTTTGAGACGCGCGAGTTGTTTTTCGATATCTTCGTCGGCCGTGCTTTTCGAAGCCTGCGGAAGATTCCCGTGAACGGTCGGAGCTTCTCCGAGTTTCCCGTTCATCTCGATGCCGATCTCATCTAACACCTTATCCAGAATGTGTTGGCTCTCTCCCTCGTCTCCCTCTTCGTCCAGGATGTCGTCGAGAACATCGTTCACTGAAACTCGAGCGATTAGTCTGCGTTCTCATCGACGGCTCTCGGCAATGGATGAAGGTACTATCTGCACTCGACAACTCACTCATTTCTTCGCTCATGCCCATTCTTTCGCTCGCCATCTTGAACTCCCCGAGCGTTTTCCCTATACTCGCAGGATTCATCGAAGCATTGACGCCGTGCATTGCTTTAGCCGCGCCAGCGACGCTGTTGGCGAGCGCAACGTTTGCACCCATGGCTTTGGTCTGGTGACGGACTCCCGTGAGCTTAGGGGCAGAGATAGAAACTCATTAGTCTTCGTCGTCGAAAATTCGGAGTATTGTTACTATTGTCCGACATTGCGCCTCTCGACTCTCGAACTTAGCGCCGTAGCTCAACATCGGGAAATTCGAGATGACTGAGATCTTCACCTGCATCGAGGCCTGTCGAGTCCTCTCTCGCTGTTTCCGCACTTGGATGAGTTGCTTCGCGTAGGTTCTCTCCAGACCATTCTTGAGTTTGCTCGCCTTCTTGATTTCTAGAACCTGGAAACATATCTCGTCTAGAGGGGATCACGGTAGAGGAGCAAGAAAGCATCCGAGTGGGGAGAAAGAACGAACTCCGAATGATCGTGTTCCCTACTCACGATTTGATTTTCTTGTTGTTCCAACTTCCGATCTTCCCGCGCAAGCTCTCGCTCCGATTTCCGCAGCTCACGATCCTGCTTCTTAAGTTCCTCTGCAACAATAAATGTTTGACTGAGCTCCACTATCGCGAATCGCAAGCCGAGTCGACGCAGAGTACCCGCGAGCGATCGGACGGAATGAGACTGGCCAAAGTTCGGATATGGCAAATAAATGACGTCTGAGCTGTCTCATGGTCACCGGAGCTGGACATGAGCTCAGCGCGATTCGCGAATTCCGAGGTTCTCGGAGCATGACCTACAAATTGGAATCATTGTTTGCCATTTTTTTCGCGTGGATATCATCAATCATCATAATCACGGTGTCACACCGCTCGGATATCCGCTCATGTGTAATCTCCAAACGAAAGCCAACGTTGGAAGGGTGAGTCATCATTCCATTCGAGCTGGAGTTCGAATGCCGCGAACCATCTGCTAGTCTTGACAATCGCACATAACCCCATGAGAAGAGTCGCGCTCCTGAATGCCGGCGAGCGATATCACGGGTGGGTCCCGGTGTCGAGTCCGGTCCAAACCCCGAAACGGAGCAATTTGCACCGCGGCAGACTGAGCGAGGATCATTGAGCAATGGCCCCGGTGACGTTAGGCAACAACTATCACGGATCCACCAAGTTGTGGAACGCACGTGATTCACGACTCACCCTTCGGGTTTGTTTTCTTGCCAAAAAGCTTGTCCATCTCGGATTTCAAGGCGGACACGCGCACGTCTCTCGGCAGGCTCTTATTGCTGAAAAGGTCCGAACCGTCGACGAAAACTCTGAATCAGCTGCTACACTTTCACAACGGTGTATCGCTATTCACGACAGTGAACACATCTCGGCAGGGGGGGAAAGAGAAAGTATCCCCTCGCCCGATCATTCCCTCACCCATGATGACATCATTCAGCAGAGTCCAACAACGCCAGCTGCCAATGGTGTTTATAAGCGAGGCAGAACTTCGAAAGTGGTCTGCTAATGTTGTTTATTATGTCCTTCGAAAGGTCTTCGAAATAAGTCCACTAGCCTTGTCCACCGATTCTGACAAGGGGAGGCGAGAAATGATCGGCCCAGCCATACGGGCCGGCCTGCGGCTAGGTACCCCGCGTTGCAGCTTGGACAAGCTCCAATCCGTTCAGAAGAGATTCTCCGGACATGGAAAATGGTACTACAGGGAGCTCGGTGAATGTCCCTCCACGAACAAACGAGCCTCGGACTGTGAGTTACCCAGCTTGCGAAACGGTGTAGATTAGGCTTTCGAAAAAAGATCGAAGAGAATTGTGGGGTTCAAACCGTGAGGGTCATCCCCATTGTTGGAATGGATACGAGGACTCATCTCGTCCGCGTACGTCCCCATACGGATTTTCCGTTTGGGGTCTCGGGAGAGAAAGGAGACTGGAGCTCGCATAGCGAGAGGAATCAGGCACCCCACCATAATCAGCAACACTACCTCTTACTTTCAGTTGTCTTGATTTCGATGTGGTCGTGGATTTTCTGGCACCTCTTCACCGAACCTGAGCATCTTTATGGTCATCTCTCGGAGCCCGACGCCTCGCTGTGGACCGACGAAGAACTCGGTGTTGTTAGAGATTGATTTTATTTCCATTGTCCAATAAATGATAGAGGTGTTTGAAAAAAACTATGGAAGATCTGTCTCTCGATCAGCCGAAATCAGAAAACGATGCGCGGCTTCTCCCTAGCCTTTTCGTATTACTTTGCGTGGTCTATCACCCTGAATGTCCAGAGATGTTTTTCGTCTCCGACGTGGAGCGAACAGGCGTCGATACTCGCTGACACTTTCCCAACATTCGGGTCATGCTGGATGAACAATGATTTGGCACGATCTATCCAATGCAACGAAATGAGTACAGTGAAGAGGATTCAATGGGCGACGCACTTGACACACTGTTTCTCTAATCTCACGGGAACAGGCGCGGGTACGCACGGAAGTGAAGCTCCGGGAAGGATCACGATGAAAATACACGAATTGTTCCTCGCGGAAACCGAGGTAAAGCCAAGACACTACCATGACACTCGGGGTTTCCGAAAAGCTCAGAGGAAGATCGCTTACCAACCCTCCCAATTAATTCCAGACGTTCTGCTCCCTGATATCCTCCCTACACTGGGCGAGAGATTCGATCAAGGTCCCTAGATTTTCGGCTCACCAACCTGACCTTTTTCAAGAGATTCTCTCTTTCGAGCTTCGGTCGTGCAGGGTTCCCCTTGTCCTGATCCTGAGACCTTTCTTGTATCTTATCCGCGATTCCTCTCGTTCCCTCACCAGGCAGTCGAATCGGTAGGAGAAGAAGCATCGGGAGTACGTCAGCGGCTGGACGACGCCTTTCTCAGGAACTCGCGGGAGGTCGCTCAAGAACTCGATATCCTACGAGAAGAGCAAAACAGCTTGAGGAGCAATTTGGAGACAACACTCCACACGGTGGACGGGTTCTCCGTAGAAGAGCTCAGTACTTTGGACTACATGGTTGACTTGTTCGCCTTGATTGACGCCAATATTGTCATGAGACTCCTGATTTGGCTGCTTCTACCCGCCTTCAGCATCTTCACTCTGAGCGTCGGAGAATTGACGAAAGCTTCGAGATGGCCACTCTTGATAATCTGGGCATCGACATTCGTTTCGAACCATTTCTTATGGAGGTATGAAAGGCGAACAATTACGCAGCATCCTGAGGCTTTCGGCCCTCAATCCAGGAGCTTGTCGTTGATTCAACGAATCAACTTCATTCCAGTGAAGTGGGCGAAGACGTTTGGCTGATCCTGACGTCGTATTTCGTCTCTGTGACCACCTATGTGAAAATCATCAACCACTCTCGGAAAAAATTCCACGCAGAAATGACAAGAATTGATGGAATCATCGATGAAACGAAGAAGATCCGGAACCACCTACAAGAGCTTGCGGAAGAATGATTGATTCCCGACATTATCCCGCTTGCGAGACTAGTCAGTCAAATGAAATCAACGATGTTCATCATTTTCTGCGCTGGCGCACAGCATGCGAAATTCTCTTGTGGAACGTGTTGCGATCGTATTCTTTATCCTGGAGCTCCCCGCTTCAGCGCGGTCACATGACGTCTTATTCAAGGAGCACCCTGATGCTCGGATGAATTTCGTGAAACTCCGTAATCTCGGTGGAGTGTACGGATGGGAATGGATAACCGCTCTATCGAAGCTCACGGTTCGAGGGATTCATAGTCGGAGAATGTAGGAACGTCCCGTCGAACGGCCGAATAATGAGAATTGTCCTCAATAGCATATTTACCACAACGCAGGAAACGTGTCATCCCATCGATGAGTCCAGTCTGGCACATCTGGCACTCGAGCTAGTGAACGTACAGCAGGAGTTTTTGACAAGGAAAACATTCCACTGTGACAAGAATCTGCACTTCACCCGCTGCTCCAAACTCAAATCGATGCCGGGGGACGTTTTGATATCCTTAGCACAGATGTTCATCGAGCTTCACGTCATTTGCATTTCAGTTGCGCACGGCCCGAGACTCGAAGGAGTTCAAAAGGTTCGAGGAAGCTCCCGAGCCTATCTCTCGCATTATTCAACCTCTTCACAAGAGTCAGCTCGCCTCGAAATTTTATTTTCCCCAGATTCTGCGAACGATCGCAGACCTACGATCGGACCTCGGGAGACAGCTCGTCGAATTCAACAGTTCTAGTACGAATTTAACTTCGACGCAAGTCAGCGACCTACCTTCGCTGGGCCCGATTGTGCTCCAGATCATGGAATCCATGGGAGATATGGGCAGAACAGTCAACGAGACACTGGGAAAAGCGCTTCGTGGGTTCTGATTTGAGCCTGACGAGCTGCACAACGATATGAGCCTGTGACAAAGATCTGAATCGCGGCTTCTAATGCGAGGGGTTTTGCAGATAGCGTCATTTTCTTCTATGTTCTGGTAACTTATCTGACGCTCCTCGCAATGACGCATGTTCTGACACAAGGGGAGCTCCGTCCATCTCGACAAGCCGGTTTCCTCTTGGCGTTCCTGAATTTTTTCATCGAGATCCACTACGCTATTGCGATAGGTCCGAGGTGAGGAGATCACGAGCAAATAGAGTTCCCCACGCGGAGCGATCCGCAAAAATAGAAGCTTCGTCTTATTTGCTAACACGAATTCACTATTCTCAGCGGCGATCAGACGAGCTTGATTTCTTTCGTCTTGTGGTGTACAACAGTTCATGGGGTGCTGATACTAGCTGTATTGTGCCTGAACCCACGCTTCTCAGCATACCGGAAGAAGAAGAAACTCCGAGAGCTCAGAAGTCATCTAATGATTTTGAGCGAACTCCTGCAGACATCGGAATTTTAGGACTCAGAGATTTGTACGAACTCGTGCCGTGCCGGCGGAGTGGATCGAAGGGAATTCTCTTCCACCGACAAGCTATTATTTTGGAATTGAACCGGGCTCCACGACCGATTTCCGAAATAGGCATGAAGCGGCAAGAGGAGAAGTCACATAACTCTTGAAGTCCCTCGATAAATTATTGAGCCCCATGTAACGGATCAGTAGCGCAAGATTGGGATGGAAGTTTATTTCATCTGAAGCCACGAAGTTTGACATCTGTCGAGTATGTCTTTGAATCTCTCATTCTGATCGCTCAAGGATCGTACTTGCGTAGTAAACGATCCATCTCCGTAGTCCAAGACGAGCATTACGCCAAGTAAACCCGGAAACATGACTATGAGCAGGGGCCAATCAGAACTGTTGTGAACCAAGAGTTTCTCGGCCAGATCGATAGTTTCGATTTCAGAGAGTCGCCTCTTCACCGATGCCAGCTTCGATAGGAAGTCGGATTCGAGCCTCCTACCACAAGAGATCGAGGAGATCAGTACGGCGTAGCAGGCTTCGAATTCTACGGAGGATTTGAGAACCTCCGGGAGACCGTTGATCCCACACACTCGGGCGGCAGCCTTGAGGAAATTCGCTTCGATGAAGGCTGTTCCTCTGAATTCATGGAGTACCCTTCGCCACAAGGCGAATAGCTGCAAGGGGTCATGATGCTCGTTTTTGAAAGTCACCTTCGACAGAAGGCACAAACTCGGCTCCAGAGATTCGATACCAGCGGAGAGACACTTGAGGAAGTTTTCAGCGAAATTTTCGGGCAGCACGTATTTTCGGCGCAGCTGGTCTATGCTCTGCGCATTCAGGGCCTCCGCCAATACCGAACGGGGTCTCGCTCCTGCCATGTCCTGATCTTCACCCTCACAGACATTTCACGGAAAATCCTCCTCAATCAGACGGATCGCGTAGTTTACCGTTTCCAGCTGAACCGCCGCTGTCAGCTCTCGCTCGGCTCGCACCCAGCGACTCAGCTGTTGGACCGGGCGGCGCGCGCTAATGGAATGTTTATTTTGATTCGAGGGTTGTTGGACTTAGCATAGCCGGCCGTGGTTATTCCGCGGATGGTCGAAAAGTGTCTGCGTGTTCTCCGAACTCAAACTCTCCGGGCGGATTGAGCGCCGATTACGAACTGCGGGCACCCGACAGCCATCTCAGGGGTTGCCGAATGTCTGGTCGGACTACGAGCTCGATCTACATCGCGAAGAGCTACCCCTCCGTTCCAGCGCCATCACCTTTTCGGAGCACAAACTCATCACGTCACCATAAGTGAATGTCAAGAATCGCATAGCCAGGAGCGTATCTGACTTACTCCGGCATCTCTCCAGTCGACGAGCCTCTTTTCGTCATGGATAAGAAAGACACCCGGCTCCTTCTGCCGGATATCCACAGCGTCGAACAGATCAGAACGGGTAAATAAATTGTAGTTTCGATCGGTTAGCTTTGTCACCTGTGGATGCTCACCGTAATCATTGTCAGGTGACGTTCCTGCTCGCGAGTCTGTGCGGACTGTCGATTAGGGTTTCCGTGCCGCAGTCTTCTGCTTCGATCCTACCTACTTGTCCATAACGACAAGCTCCTCCGCCTCCTCCGAGACCGTTTCTCCCTCCGACAATCTACCCTTCCGCGCGAGATTCGAGCAGGCTTCAAAATCTGAATCACTATCTCTCTGTCTCGTCGAGGCGATATTACCTTCGGAGCGCAAAAGAGTCGCCGGCCAGCGCGGCGCTGCCACTGATCGCGGTCGTTATGTATCTCTCCGGCAGGGAAACAGCTGTTAAAATCTGGTCTACATGCCCTGCGCTCGTAAAAGCAGTTTGCTGCACAGTGCGAAGCTCGACGAGCACAAGAAAACTACCATGAAAACAGGCACAGCTCGACGGCATACATCCAGTTCAAGGCCCATGGCTATGAATCTCTCGCTCGAAATTAGGCCCCACTATGGCTCGAGCATAAGTCCCCATATGTTCTTTCCTTCCAGGTTCGCAGAATGCGTTGAAATACGTGTCTTTAGTGACTCTGACAGTGCAAAATGCCGCACTCAACCTGGCTATGCGGAGTTCTCGGACTCAGAAAGAATTGTTCATCGCATCCACCGCCGTAGTCATGGCCGAAGTTATCAAACTCGTAACATGTTTGGGCCTGATCAGATTCGAAGAGGGCTCGTGGAAGAAAACGGTGAAAAATACGCACAGAACAGTTCTGGTGAACTTCTGGGACACTCTGAAGGTAATTCGCGATGTCGAACTCCAGATATCTATAACGATCCCCAGAGAGCTAGTGGAACTGCTCAATAATGGTCCTTGATGTCATCGGTAGATTAATGGGCTGAATTGCTCCCAGGTCGCGGTTCCTTCCTTCGTATACACGATACAGAACAATCTGCTCTACGTGGGCGCGACTCACTTGGACGCCGCGACATGCCAAGTCACCTACCAGCTGAAGATTCTCACAACCGCCTTATTTTCGATCGCACTACTCCGGAAGAAAATCTCCGCCATTCAGTGGGTTTCGCTCTTCATGCTGTTCATCGGTGTCGCCCTCGTCCAATTGGCGCAGCTGGACAAGCCGCACATGATAGTTGCAGGTCGGGAGCAGAGTGCCTTCGTCGGTTTCATGGCGATCTTCATGGCCTGTGTGCTCAGCGGTTTCGCCGGTATGTCACGACTCTCTCGGTTCAAGTCCCGGGCATCTCATTCCCATGTTTGACGCATCTTCTATCCCTACCACGGGAAGAGAGGGGAAGGAACGAGCCTTCGAGAATTCTCTGATCTATTGATGATCGTCCCCAATCCGTTTGCAGGTGTCTATTTCGAGAAGATACTCAAGGGTGCCGATATATCGGTCTGGATGCGTAACGTCCAGCTCTCTGTGGTGGCGATTCCCATCGGACTCTTGACGACCTTCTCCTATGATCTCCACGAGGTCTCGTCGAAAGGATTCTTCCATGGCTACAACGCGATTGTATGGTCCGTTATACTTCTTCAGGCTCTCGGTGGCTTGCTTGTCGCCATGGTGGTACGCTACGCCGACAATATCCTCAAGGGCTTCGCGACATCGCTTGCCATCATCTTGTCGTGCATAGTGTCCGTCTATGCGTTCGATTTCGTGCTCACAATCACTTTCTGCCTCGGAACCTCATTGGTCATGGCATCAGTATTCCTCTATTCGAGTAAAATACAGCTGAAACTCTGAGCGTTGTTTGAAACACAGTATGACTAGAGATGAGCGAATAATACATTCTGTTGAATGCAATATGACGAAACTTTCGCCTGAACTGCGTGTAGGGATAGCTGCATTGAGACTACATCTTCGGATCAAAAAGTGTCAGCCAGATGTCCACTGCGCGGGCGAAAATGGCCCGGGTTTCCCCAAGTTCCTTCAGAATATCCTAGCTTATGAAATTGATTCATTACCGACTAGACTGGTTCACAGTGTACAGTTTGATTGAGAGGACGAGAGTGAGATGTTTGAGACCACCTATAACTTATACGATGAAGATTACATTGCCTGTTCGGAAGAATATATTTTCCACCTGCTGTGACGAAGAAACGTTGCAATCTAATAAATGTCTATGAGCCTGATAAGGGAGCAGGGAAGCGTATTGATTGATCTATTGACCGATCTCGGTGACATCTCAGCATCCCGTGAGGGAACGAGGGAACCCATGCGCGCGGGGCAAGCTTCCGGGCTGATTCGATTGGAGATTGGCGGTCTCGGACATCATCTTCACAACGATCTGACAGTTAACTGGAAAGGGACAGCCAGAGCCTATCGTTGTGACCTACACGAAGAATAATGAATTTTTGCAGGAATTCGTGAAATCGGTCTCAGCCACGGCACACGACCGACGACGAAATCACACTGGGAGCCCTCCTCGCAGCAAAGAAGTTTTCATGACCCGTAGAACTCTGGAATGATGTCTCGACATCGGGAATACCGCTCATCGCTCATAATGAGAGTCGTAATGCTCGTGCCTGATGTGAGATCTAAAATTTCTCCCATCGAGAAATATTGACGGAAAAAAGTGACAGATGTTGAGCTAGCGAGCCCTGTTGTTCGATTCCATCAGCTGGTGAGTTCTGAAGACTAGATGCAGCGGCCTCTCCGGAAGTTGAGCACGTGAAAAATCATACGCCCCACGGATACGACCCTTGTCCTCTCCGGCGATCCGATGCGCTACCGTGGATATGTCAGGATATGCTCCGCTCGGAGCCGTTTTCGTCTTCGTCTACGCATTTGTCAAACGTCGGTCCGAGAAACTCTATCTCATCCTCGGTCGCCCTTCTGCATCTAGCCTCTGCTCATGTGTAGTTCGGAACACGTCACCGGGAGAAACACTTCTTCGACTCATTCGCCGGTGTTCGTTTCTCCGATAAATCGACAAAATGGTGTTAATGACGATGATAGCCCGAGCGAGTGACGGAATGCCCCTTTCGGCATCGGTTCAAGAGGATGACGAGCTACGGAAGGTCAACACCGAGTATCAGAACCAGGCGAAAATGCTCTGCAAGAAACTGGGATCATCTGCCAATCAACGATCGACCATCGAAACGGGAAAGTATTACTTCCACTATTCAATCGAGGGCGGCGTCATTTTCCTAACGCTATGTGAGCGTTCGTTCACTCGGAAGCAAGCATTCGCTTTCTTAGAGGACATCTCTCACGAGTTCCTTCAATACTACGGCAGCAAAGTAGCCTCGGTCGCCAGACCGTACGCCTTCATCGAGTTCGATACGTACACCCAGAAGGCGAAGAAGAACTACTCGGACGCTCGAGTTCGGCGTAACTTGGTACAGCTTAATAGCGAACTGAACGATGTTCACCGCATCATGGTTGAGAATCTCGACGACGTTCTGCAGAGAGGAGCAAGCTTGAGTGAACTCGATTCAAAAGCATCAAATCTCAACATCTTGAGCCAGAAGTACAAGAAAGACGCCACGACACTCAACAAGCGGTCGCTGTACATGAAGATGGCAGCCGGTGCTACCTTCGTCGCTATTCTGCTCCTCTACTTTTACGTTTTCTGAAGCTCGTCCTGAAGTCAAAGAGAGCCGGCCCACGTATAAATGTCGTCGGAAAAAGAAGCATTTGTGAGCGAAGTCTGACTTTTATTCATGATCAAAAAAATCAATAGTGTATCTTCCAAACTCCGATTGCTTGCTGTGGGTGGCGATGGAAATCATCAGCACTAGTTGATCGACGGGCGGTCGGACGAACGTGTGGACTGAGTGATCGAAAGGCTAGCTATTTCCGCGATGCTGTACTTGTACATATGGTTAGGGGAAAATGTTAAGTATGAAATACAATAATGTGATACCTCGGAAATATTAATCTCAGGTGTCTTATTTTGACCTCTCACAAGCGTGCCGAGGAAGATTCCGATCGGATTATGATGGGAACGCCTAGACACTCTTGATCGAGAGTAGCGCTCTCAGAGCGATCAGGCGGCCCCCGGGAGACTTCAGGCTGCTAGGACGGTCCCGAGTCATTTCTGAACCCTACATGAGGGAGCAATCTGAGAAATCTTGAAGGGAAATTCTACCATCCCATCTCGACGACACGGCTACGGTAGAAAGCGTCACCGATTTTCCTCGATACAACCGCGCAGGACTTATTTCCCGTTTCCTGCTAGTCTTTCCCCGAGGCTCCTTAGGAAAAATATTCAATCCGTACCGACCGGGGCCGCTGAATAGTGTCGAGCCCACCACAACTAACTTTTCTGCTGCGGTCGGTAGGGTCAATTCAGCAAATCCGAAGGCGATTGAATTATGAGGACAAACAGACTGTTTCTCGCTGGTCGCTCCGCTGTACTCCTCTACACGGGAGGATGACTTCGGACCTGTCCTGCTGATTCACCTTTGGGTTTCCGTCGGCGGAGGGGCTATCCGGATGTGGAGCGTACCGTAGAGAAGCGATAGGCGCTTCTCTCACAGATACGTGAAGCATCGATCAACGATACATTCTCTCATGGAGAGCGCGAGCTCTCTGGCACGGGACGTGGATACTATCCGTCAGAAGTTCGAAAAAGTGGGGATTTTCTTTCAGGTCGAGAGACCGCTGCTCAAAAAAATCTCAGCTCTCTCATAATCCAGGATTGAATTGACCAAAGCCAGCGGCTTCCTTGTGTTCTCGGTCGATTGACGTTTGATACGGCATTCCACAGCTTTTTCCTCTAGGCTTCCCGACTCGGAATCCCTAGTGAGCCGCCCGTGAGTTTGGAGAACTAAGGTTCTCTCGTACAGGTGATCGAAAGAACGGGCGTTTCAGCTGAATGAACTCAAGTGCCACTTGAGACAGACGTCGCTTTCAGCGTTGGTGTATGGGTACTTACAAACAATATCGCTCATTATCGATGACCAGTGCTTCAGAATACGCCGGACGTTCACGCTAATCCTACTGAGCGACTGAGGCAACGACAATCTGTCCTCGAAAGTTTATCTTTCAACCGTTTTCTCTTCCCCTGATTCATGAAACGTTCCGCTCTCGTTTGTTTGGTTTCGGAGACGAGACAGCTCCTGTCAGACACACTCGCTCAGTGAGCTCGCAAAAGTGAACTTAGTCTGTGACATCGGACTTCTTGTGGATGAGAGCCACCGGGAGAGCGATCGGATTGACTGTCTGTCTCTCTTGGTACGAGTCCCGATTCCTGCCATGAAGTTAGCCTTGACGGTCGAGGAGGTTCCCAAGGCTCGGAATTTCCTCCTATCGGATTACTCTATCGGACGGAAATATCTCTCACATCAACTAAAACCGAATGTTTACAGTCGATGGCAGCCAACTTCAGAACGACAGGTATAGCCGGGGAGCGCGAGGGGAGGCCTCGTGCGTTTTCTGCAGTGTCTGCCGTCTCTTCGGTGTCCTTCGCCGATGAACACGGCCATCCGCTGAGGTGAGTCAGGATTGCGAAAATTCCGGGCGGTCTCCAGGCCGATTGCATCTCTTTGTCGAAAGATCTGATCGGTGAACGCTTTAACTGCGACGGCAAACGCGCATCCACAGCGCCAATGAATCATTCTCTCGTTACCGAAGTTTCTCCGGCGAACTCGGACGTCGCGCTTCCCGCAGCGTCTACGTAGTGAATGCAGTCTCGTTTCGACGGGAGCAAAGCGTTCTGTCCGGAAGTTCCGTCAGACGCCGCCTGAGCGCGCTTGAAACAGTGACCGGCAGGGATATGGTCCGAATCGTAATGCTTCTGTTCTGACTCGACGACAAACTGTGAGATTGTGTTTTTGCGCCATGCGCGCCCCTAACACGCCACGTTCAAGACTTCTGCGGTACGGATCGCTACGGAATTTCTCTGTTGTGGATCATTCACCGCTGATGTGCGGGAGGGGGATTGGTGTCGAATTCTCCTTCCCGATCAGAAAGTTCTGACGATTTTCCTGGTTCATGGGTGGCTTGCTTGCTTGCTATGATACTCCCTGTAGTGGCTCCATCTTCTACACGTGGAGTTCACTGACCTGAGAAGGTAGACACACCGCAGACGCAGAAGTGAAAGCGGGGATTTCCATCTTCAGCCACAGCTACTCAAATGCTGGCTCACGACCTCACACGCGGAGAGGGACCGTGCTCACGAGATTGCGGAGCTCCACGATACTCCAGGAGGACCCGGGGAGACGTCGAGCACAAGACGTAGATGAAGCTCTGAAGAACCGTCGGACATTCGAGATCGACAAGCCGATTGACGGGGCAGGTAACTGGGAATAGAAAATCAGGTCGGCCTTGACCGACTAGGCATGCAGTCGCGTTCGGAGATTGTGAGTGAAAACTTATCGGTCTCCAGGATCGAGGCTCACGGATACCGGGAACCTCAACGGAAGAGTCGCGCCGAACTTACCCTCCAGACCGCACAAGTCGTCGAAAGTTTCGGCTCACGATGCCAACCTGGTACACACGCTTCGGAAGTTTTTCTTCCCCAAGCGAGGTGAGACATCGAGGCTCATACAGACCTCGTTTATATGCAGTCAGCCTGGTCAATGAGTCTTTTTTCCTTCCGCTCGCTGAAGGTTCGGTTGGGAACGCCAAATGGTACCAATCGATGGGAGATAACGGGGAAGGCGAAGATTCATCGATATGGAAACGAGGTGCTTCTTTCGACACGGAGACTCAGATCAAGGCATCATTCATGATTCATCCCGACAGCCCCCTGAGGTACACAAGCGAGCCTCTGATCGACTATATGGGAAGAGAGGATCCCGTCAATTTATTCGAAGCCGTTACCGTCTCGAAGATTACGCGGTATATTCGGGAACATCGGAGTCCCAGGAAAAAAATATAGATCGTTCTTCCTTTTCTCAGAATCAACTGGGACATATTCATGCTCGTTCTACTGCTGATCAACATGATCGTCATACCACTGGATGTAGCGTTCTTCGCCTCTCGGCAAGACACATTCTGGGTGGTGTTCAACATTTTCACCGATCTAGCCTTCGTGTTAGACATCGTACTCAACTTCAGAACTGGTCAGTAGATTTCCCACAATCTTTAACGTACTTGACGAAATTGAGCTATACTCCCCCGTGGCCGCGTCTTGTAGACACAACTCATCAGAAAATAAACACCGAGCGCGGCGCGGACGAGCACGATTACCGCAAATGTGACCGAGGATCCAAAAACTCGGTGGAATCTTTCAGGCCCAGATCAATTATTCTAATGATCCTTCGAATAGCGAGAGCTACGTGAAACACGTCCGACCACTCCGGACCGGGAGAGAGCGCTTGAACCCCCCGAATCACTTTCTCGAGTTTGCTGAGCTCGCCCTTGACTTTTGTGACCTGGTGTCCCGTTCGACTGTACAGTCCATACGTGATGCAGCTCAGTCACTGACAGCGCAAAGAAGTGACCGAAGCTGTCACAGCCGATGATCGAAGACTCGGTTCCTGGAGCGTGCCTGACATCGGAGGCAAAATAGGCAAAGAGATCCTCTCGAGAACACGGGGAAAAATCTTATTGAATTCAACGATTCTTCGATAGCCGCCTCCTCTTCAGGATTCTTCACAAGCTCTGAGACTCGAGATCTGAACCTCGACCCGAAAGCAGTCGCGAAACGGTACTTGAGAAAATGGTTCTTCTTTGACCTGATTTCGGCCATTCCCTGCGATTTGATCATTGGGATTTTTCTGAACGACCAGGGTGAGTAAGATGTAGTCAAACGGAATCGATGAAGTATCGTGCTTGAGAAAGCTCCCCCATCATGCCATGCATGGAAAGAATTCAGATCCACTCTCGACGCAAGTTTCCCTCGTCACGGAATTCAAGTCTCAAGCGAAGTCGTTGGTCGAATGGGGAACTCAAGAAGAAGCAACAGGCCAATTGCGAGATCAAAGATCTTCCTCACGTCGCTTCCCTATTTTCACAGGCCAGAACCTCCAGCCAACACTCAAACTCGTGCACATGTTGAAGCTCATAAATTTGGTGAAACTTCTCCGTTTCTCGCGTCTCATCGGTTATTGGCATGGATTACAAGAGAATTACGTAGGTGAATCTTCCTGTATTATCGCAAGATTTGATATCGAATCGGACGCGGATCAGACAATCGGATAGGACGGAATGATCTTCATTCTATCTTCTCATCCGATTTGAGATCGCCCCGGTGAGGGATTCGGGTGCTCACCGCGTCTTGCCGAGAATCCTCTGCCTGATTTCGACTGATTCTTCCGCAGTTTCTTCACTCGTCAGGCGTTTACGTGCGGATCTTCAACCTTGGCATGTTGATGCTATGTGTTTGTCATTGGAACGCTTGCCTGCAGTTTTTCGTTTGTTTCGCTCTCGGATTCCCCGAGAAGTCTTGGGTCAACAAACATCACCTGGAGGAGGCATCTTGGTGAGACTGATGATCCGATTCTAGTCGAATTCTTACGACTCCATCAAGAATATTAAGGACACAGCTTGAATAATCGGTATCGGTTGTCCAGGTTCGACCAGTATATATGGGCGATGTTCAACGCTTTCTCTCAAATGTTGAGTATTGGATACGGTCAGTTCAACCCGGAAATCGCCTCCGACATGTTCCTGACGATGTTCGGGATGATCATAGGGGCAACTTGTTACGCTTTGCTTCTGGGGAACATCGCGTCCTTAATTCAAAACCTCGACTTCTCTACACGTCTCCGCATGCAACAGGTATATCGTATCGGAAAGAATTTTCAATCGTTTCCTCGTCGGGAGACGGACACCCATAGCGCTAGATAACCGAGGAGTTTTACGATGAAAAAAATGAGCTGAACATTGCAGATGCGTGAGGTGGAAGACTACTTGAGCTATCGTGAAGTTCCCGAAGCCCTGCGGCAGAAAATCCGCGACTATTTCGAGCGGAGATTCCGCGGGAAAGTATTCGATGAAGACCACATTCTGAATTCCCTGTCTGAGCCCCTGAGAGAGGTCCGTCGTCTCTCCATCCAATCCCCGTTGCATTCATTCGAGATCGATTTACGCGGGAATCAATCGGGAGGAGGAAAACTCTGATCTCCATGAACTCTTCTACTCGGCGGTTCTGGACGAACCTCATCGCTAATCCTCACCCACCTCTCGTCCTTTCAGCTGGTCACAAGGCACAACTGCCAAACGGCTCTGCGATCAGTGCCGCTATTCTCTTCAGTGGTGGACGAGCTATTTCTCTCCGATCTAGTTCGCGTGCTCAAGTACGAGTTTTTCCAGCCGTCCGATCTCATTATCAAGCGAGGCACCGTGGGGACGAAAATGTACTTCCTTCAAAGTGGCAGAGTTCATATTCTATCTGACGACGGACCCTTGTGGCTTCGAGAGGGATCCTACTTCGGAGGTTGGTGCAACACTTTTGTGGGGAGCGTTGCCTTCTTGAATGTGTATGGTATACTATCTCAGATCCTCTGATTTCCGGGAGGAGTGTTCCCGACCACCCGAGCGGTGTCCCGATCTGCTGAAACAGAGATTCTATCTTCTCTTTGCAGAAATGTGTCTCCTAACCCAGTGCGAACGAAAAGCGTCGGTAAAAGCTGAAACTTACTGCTCAGCCTTCTCGCTCTCTATGGAGAACTTCAACGAAGTACTCGATCGGCATCCATCGATAAAAGCCGCCATCCAGAAGATTGTAGAGGATAGTCTTAGCATAACAATCAACTAGTTCTCACTTCACACAGCATCGAGATTATCATTCTATATCGTATTGTGAAGAGAGGATAATCGACACGTGTGAACGTCGGACTTCTTAAATTATAGAGCGATATTGATCCTTTATCCTGTACATGATCTACGTCAAAACAAAACCTCGGCCTCTGGACTACCAAAACACGTTCGGGTGATCGGAAAAGCCTCACAGGATGGAGCTGACTCTGCGGAGTTTTCAAACGAGAATATTTTGGAGCAATAGGAGTGACATTCCGACACCAAAACTTATCGAAATGTACAAATATTCACATAATGCGTCGGGTGTAGAGTTTTTGAGGTCGAGCCAATCAGCGGTGAGCTCGAGAGGCTTGCGATGACATAAGGAATAAAAACCTTTCCTGCTATATGTTCTCGATACGACGATCCCAACCCGTGAACCAGTAGACTCTCTCGAAAATAAACATGGAGATATTCTGACTTCCCGGTCACCGATGCTCGCTCCGCGGGCTCCTCGTCACCGATTGATTTCTTTCACAGGCGCTGGTCACAGAAGGAGACGTTCAAGTCGAGCGCTGAGCTATTGCGCTTCCGAGGGCGATCATCCGATATCATCAAGCAATCCCTGTACAGCCGAATCATCACTACGGGAATCCTACATGGAGGGGGCCGATTGGAGGTCACATTAGAACGAGAGCTCCCATTCCGGATCTCCCGTGGTGCGGGTCGAAAATTTCCTCGAGGCTACTTCGTGAACTAATTCGCTGGGAAATATACTCCCTCGTTTGTCTCGGGTATTTGCCCATAGGATCCATCAGTTCAGTAAGTAGATGAAGGAATATCATTGCATTCCGGAGAGAGGATCGAATTACAGGAAAACGTGTGAGACGGGATCAGGTAGGCATACAGTAAAAGCCCGTTACTACGAACACGAAGGGACCGACGACACTGGCTCGTTGTACCGAGTTTTCACAGTAACGAATGCCGCTCAACACTATCCCTATGGCGAGCTGGCCAAAGCAGGAGGAATTCCTTGTTCGTTGTACCGAGAAATTCGTTGTAATGGGGGTCGTTATAACGAGCTTTTACTGTATCGAGAGTTCTCCGAGCCTTCCTTGACGTCTGTTATCGATGATCATGCGTCGGGTCATTTCGGACTGGCGTTAACCGTAGCTGGTGCTCCCTTCAGAATTTCGGTTTTCACCCCCTCCTATACTTCAGAAGGATCCTTGTCCTTACAGAGAAATTAGATTTTTTCCACAGGAGCCATAGATGCCTTGTCGTGCTCTTTGTCGCTCATTTCAGCAGGAAGATGGCGGACAAGATCCTGGAATCGATATCCTCTAAGCTCGGATAACTTGTATCGGATTCCCCGTCACGGTGCGCGGGATCATCAATCATTAGTGGCCTAATTTGAATCATTTACAGCTCCCATGGAAGCCGAATTCTCCCCCGAAACGAGCTCCGACACGATTCTCCCCTGGTTCAGGAAACTGCGAGGGTTGGGTACGGCGGCGGTGAGACATTTTCTCACGTTCGGGGAACCGCGTTTCCTCGCTTCACGGGTTTTCGGGTCGGTCGCTACTCGAAAGCCTCGAGATAGGGAACAATCTCCCGCAATGAATCCCGAAAATCCTTTGATGTCAGCACGCCACCACTCGAGTTGACCAAGCCAGCGCCATATGGATAACTGAAGGATCATTTCGTATCGAGATGTGAGATTATCCGCATTAGACCTATAAAAGACACGGATGGTAAGCTCTCCCTCATTGCCACAATGCGTGCCTTGGTCGTCCTCGCACTTGTAGCTGCGTCGTCGTTCGCCATCAGGGTCCCGAGACCCTCGGCCGAGCCTCACTGGAATGCCTTCAAGAGCACTCACTTGAAGAGCTACCGCGATGGCCAGGAAGAGCTTATCAGACGTTTCATCTTCGAGGACAACCTCCACACCATCGAGGAGTTCAACCGGGTGAACGCCTCTCTTGCTGGTTTCACCCTCGGAGTCAACGAATTCGCTGACATGGTGAGTTTCAACTCCTAGAGGAATTCGGAGTTCTCCCGGAGGACTTCTTCCCCTTCAAGGCTTAGCGAATTCAACCCTTCAATGATACGTTTCCCCCTCAGACCAACACCGAGTTCTCGAACATGCTCCTCGGCCTTGGCGGCCGCAACAAGATCGCTGGCGATTCCGTCTTCGAATCAAGCCACGTTCAGGACCTTCCTGCCGAGGTCGACTGGACCCAGAAGGGCTACGTCACCGAAGTGAAGAACCAGGGTCAGTGTGGTTCCTGTTGGGCGTTCTCCACCACCGGATCCCTCGAGGGTCAGGTATTCAAGAAGACTGGGAAGCTCGTCTCCCTCTCCGAGCAGAACCTCGTCGACTGTTCCACCAGCGAAGGAAACCAGGGCTGCAACGGAGGTCTCATGGACCAGGCTTTCACCTACATCAAAAAGAACGGTGGAATCGATACCGAAGCTGCCTACCCCTACACCGGATCTGATGGCACTTGCAGATTCCTCGAGAACAAAGTTGGAGCCACGGTCTCCGGTTTCGTTGACGTCAAGAGCGGAGACGAAAACGCTCTGAAGGAGGCTGTCGCCACCGTTGGCCCCATCTCAGTGGCCATCGACGCTTCATCGATCTTCTTCCAGTTCTACAGGGGTGGCGTCTACAACCCCTGGTTCTGCAGCTCGACCGAGCTCGACCACGGAGTACTCGTTGTCGGATACGGCACGGAGGGCGGCAAGGACTACTGGCTTGTGAAGAACTCCTGGGGTTCGAGCTGGGGGCTCAAGGGCTACATCAAGATGGTTCGCAACAAGAAGAACCGTTGCGGTATCGCCACCCAGGCCTCGTACCCCACCGTCTAGACACAGTCTGCGCGGAATCCAGTGGATGAGCTGGAGGTACAGTTCCGTTCTCCGGATTCAATAAATTGGCCTAAGCTGAGAGAACTTTCCCTCTTTAGCAGAGTCTAATCTAGAATTTCGGAATAAATATATCGATTCACTCGATGTATCTCCTGATGGCGCAAAACCTCATTCTTCAGCAGAGGGCAGAGAAGGTTAGCAGGATGAGGGGTCGAGTCGTCGGAGTTCTTATCCCTTATCGATCGCTTATTCTTATCAATATGGATAGTTCCCTGGCAGGGACGGGGTCTTGAGACTTCGCCCAGTATATGATGCGGCTGGAAAGGATCCTCGGTCTCGTTTGCAAGAGCCCGTCCGGAACAAACGCTGATCGAGGACCAAACCTTCATGAGTCTCAACCTATTTCTCTCTCATTGTCATCATCTCTACGAAGCGTTCCCCTATTCGATTGAAGCTTTCGGTGCTCCCTCCGGAAGGAATCGCGATTCCCCATTATTATGGGGACTGAGGGGGCGCGACGGTCACAGTAGGTTTATCCGCATTCATTCCAGATTTTCTCAATTTATAGTTCTCCCCATCGGCGGGCGAGAGATCACCTTCTTGTCAGCAAGGCCGATGGCGAACGGTCATGGAAAGCCCGTCATTTCGGAAGGATGAAGAATTCCGGAGGACAACTGTCGGATCTGCGAAATCGAACGTAGCATTCAGTTTCACAGCTCGTAACGCGTTATTCATGATTACCTAACGCCAAGCGGAAAAAACATGAGGGGCGGGGATCGTGAGAAGAATGTGTACCGCTCTCCGTAGCAATTCACAGCTCTGTCGTATTTGTCGAAACACAATTCGACTGTTACGAGAGTGTCGTTCCGGCAATGCAACATGATTTGAAATCTGTGGACTTTCTTCAGAGCGGCCGTGAATTTCTCGATCGAGACTTTCTTATCTCGACTCGGCTTGATTCCAGATTTTTTCAAGTGCGCTGGAAAGAGTCAGACTATCAATTCGGCGATTATCTCTCTGGAATCTCTGGATCCAGAACGGAAACCTTGCGCCCAGAGATTTCACGAAGCCCAAAGATTTCACTCCAAATCGTGGCGTCGTCGCCGACGCCTCACTCTCCCAGGAACGCCAGGTTACGAATATCACCAAAATCAGCCATCCGTAGTTCCTAACCAGCCAATCCGGAAACTTCTGTCCGAACAAGCTCTACCACATTATAGAGGCGGCTCGAGGGATCAAGCAAACCACATTCGGGGACAGCATACTCACTGAAGAACTTCAGCTTCCCGTGGATTTTTTTCACCGTTGAAATGTAGTCTTCGAAGGGCAGCCTGTATAGAAAGATCGTCAGTGCTTCCAACCTCTCTCTCCCGTGGGGTGGTGGTGGTGAGTAAGGGAGTTACATCGAGGGAATCTTGCCCACCTGAAGCGGATCACAGCCCCTGCTTCCTCGTATGCTTGGACTATCGGTATTTCCCCGTCTTTCGCTTTGAGTCTGGCCATGATGTCGGTGAGATGCCCCTCCTTGTCGAGTTTCTTAGCTGTTACCAATTTTCGAAGTTCAAACTTTTACCGTATCTACTCGCAGCTCGGAGCACGATGTTCTTTATCGCACCCGATTCGAAATACTCGCCTTTGCCTAGGAGAGACTCCCGCTCTTCGGCTCTGAGCGTATCTTCGGGATCCGCGCCCTCGTCGTGTGGCTGGTCATGGTCTCGGAGGCCCCTCAAAACCCACCTATGGGACGGGTCTAGTGATTCGAGATCGAACACCGCAAAGGCCTCCTTGCGGAAAAATTGTCCCGAATTCTACTCACTCTCGGGTTATGAGTTTCGCATCCGCCGCCTCAGGGCCTGCCACGTTCTGAATGTACCCCGGAACGTGAGCATATACCATGCTGAATATCGGTCTTCTGGACACATGGCGGTCACTAGAACATTCGTCGCTGGGGGAGAATTCGGAATCGTATAACTTGTTCTGCGCATCGCGCGGTCGGGTGCTCGGTAAGAAGCAGCTCCTCTTCTCTTCTTAGGAACTCAAGAACTGTTTTGGTCTCGAATTGCTTGTCTCGAGATTCTCCACAAATATGAAAATTCGATCGGGGTCTCGGACTCATTTGCCTCGGGAGTAGTTATCGGTCGTCCGATCGTAATCGAACAAGATCTTCGCGCAAAGAGGAGGTGCCTCGCGGGTCGGGGACCCGCGGCAGATTCCTCAGGGGAATTTCGATATCCTGCCTAACTTTGGGATGGCTCGTTGAAGGATTTTTCACCGGCGCAGCATCCGGAAAGGCGCTGTATGCAACTTCTCAGGACACCCAAGATTAGGGGCACGCGGGTCAAGTCTCCTCGAGGTCTCGGAAGGCAAGATAGGTGGGATATCTGACTCACCTGTCGCTCTCTTGCAAGGATTGCGACGCTCCGCTTGAAATTTGAGGGTCCCTCACTGATTTGTGCTCAGAAGCCGCTACGGCGGCCTGAGCTTCCTGGAAATCCGTTGGCTCTAGTTGGCAAACCGCCTGGGACCGGGATGAGGAACGAGTTTCAAAATCAGAGGGATGATTCGGCGCTCACCTACCAAAAAACCTTCCATGAGCATTCGTTTCCGCTCGTGCTTGGAGGCGCCGGGAAAAACTCTCGGGTACGCGAGGTCATCTTTCGGGTCGAGTTTCGGCCGATCGTCGAAGGTTTCGAACGGTTTTCCCTCCGGGAACCCTTGTCGTGAGTAACCTTCTCTCGGCGGGTCGTTGGGGTCGCGCGGGTGCAGTCTTACCCGGCTAGCATCGAACCAAGGAGGGTTCTTCGCCTTATCATCGTGACAGTTGAATCGGCCCTCGATCGGCAAACCATCTCTCTTGAATGGTCCTATTAGAAAACCATCGTTGCCGTAACGACAACCCGAGTGGGCACCTCCTGCAGTCTCATTCGTCGATTCGTCCCGCCCGGCGTCGCGTCGGGTCCAGGAGGCCTCGGATACAATCTAATTCGAGTGGGATCGCGCCACGGAGGGGGCTTCGGATACTCACCGTAGGGGTCTGAGGGTTTCGCCCTCGCAAGGAAACCATCCCTCCCATACTTGGATTTTTTTCGGCAGCGACCAAGCTCATCTCCAGCGACCGCCTTCCCGTCGGCCTCATTCTCGGCGGGATACATTCTACAGCGTCGATGGTCGTGCCACAGAGGGAGTTTCGGAAGATGATCATAGGTTTCGATATGAGGAACCCCAATAGGGAAACCGTCTTTGCCGAACTCATAATCTCCTGGGTCGCGTTCTGCGCCCTCCGGTCGGGGTAGGTGGGGGTGCGGTCTAGTCCTCTGCTGATCGTACCAAGGGGGCGTTTTCGGGAGATTATCGAAGGTCTCGACAACGGGAACGCTAATGGGGAAACCATCTTTGCCGTACTCATAATCCCCCGTATCGCGTTTTGCGCCTTCTGGTCGGGGAACGTGGGGATGCGGCCTGGTCCTCTGTAGATCGTACCATGGGGGACGCTTCGGTAGATAATCGTAGGTCTCGTATCGCAATCCTTCTTGGAAACCGTCTTTGGCGAATCGGATCTCCTCGCCATGTTGGGCTTTGGCTCCCAGCGGAGCAGCCCGTCTATTGGGGTCGTCTATTCTATCCATCTTCGTTCCCGTTGGGAGATCATCGCTCCCTGATTGGGGTCCGGTACCAGGACCCTTCGGGAGCGGCAGTGGCGGAGCGTCATGTGGGTCCCGCGTGGGCTCCACCTGCGGCCGGAGGAGCGATGCAGCTCTCCTTCTTCCTTCGGCTTTCGACTTCGCGCCCCGCTTCCGAGCACGCGGTCCTCTCGCCGCAAGCTCTTTCAGTAACTCGGACGTAACTTCTTTCCAATCGCCATCGACTTGGACGTAAGGCCCAGCTTCTTTGAAATACCCGATAGATTCCCTGGTCACAGGACTCCATGTGGCGCTTTTCGGATCGTACACCATGATCGAATCCGAATAATAATGAGAGAACAGCTCGTCACGATTCATTTTCGTCGGAGCGCCGTCCACGAATACCGTGAAACCCTGGCGCATCAGGCCCGCGAACATGAGCAATTCATGGGCGAATTCTCCCGGTATGATGACAAGCTGCCCGTTAGGTCGATTGAAGTGAACCGACCCATCGAGAGCTCTCCTGTAGGTTTTCCCCTCACGGTCGAGACCCGTCATCTCTGCAGCATTCGCCAAGTCCGTCCACTTCCTGAGGACCTTGTAGAAGGGAACCCGCTCCCCGCACTCGTTGACAACGATTACTTTCTTGCGTTTCTCCGCTTGTTTCTTGAACATTTTCTCCAGCTCTCCTACAGTTACTTCTCTATCCAGTTCTGAGGAGCGCCTTACGCGAATCTTGCGAGGAAGCTTCTTCTCGAGCTCTTTCAAGCTCATCCGCTTGAAATCGGCATTCAAGAAAACCGGATAGCGGTCTGTTCCAGTTTTCGGACCACCACCGCGGAGTGCTATCGATGAACTCAGATCTCGGGTCGCATTGAACAGCCACAATGAGCTGCACACCAAAAACAAATACTCCAATAATTGTAGCGGACTTTGACGAGGCGGTCCGCCTCCACGGATGCGTCGCCGACTGAACGATATCACCGAGAGGAGCGCACAAATCAATAGTGAATCACTAAGAAAGTTAATCGTCATCGCCGATTTCGACACATGCAAGTCCGGGTCGAAGATCCAATTTCGTTTTCGTTTATGGATAAACAAGCGGCATTCACGCTGTTTCGTGTCTTTCGCCAGCAGCGAGATTCTCCAAAGGTGGCCAGGACGAAAGGGGTAGAGAGCGCATCATTTCTGCGGATGCCAGATGCGAGGAACGCTTTTCGAGCGGCGGCGCTACGGGCAAGCCTCCTACGTTTAATCTTTGTGGCGTGGCGGTTGAGTTTTCAGCTTCGATGCTTATGCACCCAAGTTGACTTGGGGTTTAATTTTAGAGGTTATAATCTCCCTGCGGATCGAGCGCATGATGAGTTCGGGACAGGCGATGATAATCGCTCTGATCCATCGGCTACTCTAAAGATCGACAGCTTCGAATTGATTTATCGTCTAATGAGCCCGACCAGAATCCAGGAAGTATTCGATTTTTTACTGATTAGTAATTTGTCCTTATTAGAGGGAGGATCGGATAATGGTCATTTGTATCATCTCTCGGACACACCCTCTCCACCCGTATGTCTCCGCGCGAGAAGAGCAACCGGTAGAGTTTCGATAAGAGAGGACACGTAATTTTCCGTCCGTCTCGACCGCTCCTTGGTTTCTCTAGAAAAGTCCGCTTCTCGGGATTCCCAAGGAAACAGCTCTAATTTCGATAGAAATCGCAATTCCCGCACCGGTTCCTTCGTTTTTGACACCAAGGTGCTGACTGCGCGGCACGAGCGGATCGTCTCCGAACGATCGTATATGGATATTGAAGTTCAAGTCCTGATAGGGGAAATACTTGCAGAGTTGAACCATAGGACGGGCCAAAGACAGAGCATTGCGTATTGCGGACAGAGTCGTCCTCTCTCCAGAAGGAAAATGTATTCTAGAACCGCAGCTCTAGCAATCCGGACGGGTAGCGAAAGGGTTAGGGTGCAGTATCCGGAATCCCTTCAGAAGTCGGGAACGCACTACGCAGAAACCCATTCACCCTCCTAATATCGCATCGACGAGAGCTCCCGGACAGGCGGAGCCTAACGCCGATATCTCACCGGTGCCGGCGTATCTTTCTTTATGCAATCCGAGCACACGGGAGGCGCGATTCATACGTTCGGAACGAGCGAATTCACTCGAACCCAGCTAGGGGTTGTAGTCTTCATTTGGATCGTCTCGGAGACGGAACTTGCCCGATGTACACGGGCGCCCGCTGATCCGGTTTCGGCATTCCAAATCCATTTCTTCGACATGTCGCCCGCGCGTTCCGCCTTGCGCTGGATTGTTTCAAAAGAAAGCGCATGCTGTTGACAGCGAGAAGGCGAGCCGCGGTCAATCGAATGTCAGTTACGTAAGATCTTCCAAGCTTTGTTTCGATTGGCGGTGTTGATGGCGATGATAGTGGTGAGGGCCACGTGGAAGGAGGTGAAGTCGATGTGGTCGGCGGCAGTCAGTCCACACACGTCTTCGGAAAAGCATTCACGCAGACACAGTGATAAAGAGAAACTTCTGTAAGAAAACTTTGGAAATTATTAGGCAGTGAAACAGTTGGATAGGCAAGACGTTTCTCTGATAGCGTGCGTGACCCGAGCTGGAACACCTGTGTCACTTGGATCTGGGAGCCTCTCGACAAACGTGAGCTCCGCGGTGAGCTGTTTGACTTTTCCCCAGATTGCCCCTTAGGTATTCCCTGACCAGAAACCTTGAGCCGGAAGCATCGGTGTCGGATTGGAAGACTGTTGTTTCCTCCAATTCCGGATCCTACGAAGCGCACGCGGATCGAACGGCCTCCCGCATGTCGAAGGATAAACCCTGAACTTATGACATCTATGGCGCCTCCTCCCATAGTGCTCGTCAGTGGTGACTTCCCAGCTGGAAATGGGAGTGTCCCGGAGTCGGAGAGCCCAAGGGCACCCCGGTTCAAGTTCCGCGGGTGAATCCTCAGGATGAACCCTGGATCGGCGACTGGGATCCGGTGCGAAGCCACTGCTTTTTTCATCGAAGCGAGCTTCGCTAATCGATACCTTCGTTATGTAGTTCAATGGCGGCAACGATCGCAGAGAGCCGACTTCCGTTAGGTTTATTTCCATGGCGGCATGTTTCATTTTCGGGAGCGCTCATCTAAAGCCCTCCCCTAAACCCACGCACTAGCCCGCAGCGCGGACGCAAATACGAACCACTCTTCCTATCGAAGGCGGTAGTGTGCAATATCGCCGAAGTCTTCCGAAAATGAGGGTCGGCGGCGAGAATTGCGACAGCAGCCGTTTTATCCTAACGTCGCGTCGTCGTGTCGTTCTATCTCCGAGACAGATGGCGTTCTTACTGGCCTCGGAAAATTTGTCGAAGAAGAACTCCGGATCAGGATGAAGACCTCGATCGCCAGCAAGAGCTTGATTCTGATCCCAAGAGACAGCTGACCGATGACCGGCAGGAGTGATCACTTGCTCTCAACATCGAGAGAGTAATCACGTAAATGAATAATTCCCATTCGATTGCATCGTAATAATTGCCCCGCGATACTAGGAACCTCGCCGTTTCCGTATCGTTCAACAGAATGATATCGGTGCCGAGCAGTTTAATTTCGTCAATCTACGCTCGGTTATCGATGGCGCTCGGTGAGCTTCGATGAACATGGATACAGGGAAACTCCGAGATCGGAAAGCAAAAACCCGGAACGATGCTGAGGTCTGTCGGTCTCTCTTTAATGATCCACCGCCACGATGCGCCGCGCGGGGTGAAATTCTTGTCGATGAAAGCGGCAGCTCTTTCAGAAAAACTGCTATTTGTAGCTGCAGGCCTTGACCGGAATTATGGCAATGCAGGAATTTCTGGTCGTAATGGATTTGTCAGCTGCAGTGCTCCTTACGTACCCGCTCATTGGAGCTGGATCTGTTATTCACGCGTGCATTTAGCCTTCGGAGCTCTTTTTCGGCTTCAATCGCGAATTGATTGGAGTATAATCATTTCTTCATGGAAATGTAGCGCTGCTGAACCGAAACGTTAGAGCGGTCTACTTGTCGGGCGCTAGATCGGGAAAACTCCTCGAACGACAAGGAAGTTCACTCCGGTACGATGGATGAATGAGGTATCTCCCTATCTGGTGTCAGGGCACCGAGAAGCTGCCGGAGGCTCAGAAAGTGCTCGCTCCCCCTAAACGGAACGATGCCGTCCGACGCGGCGGATTCATGTCGATTTCCGGAGGGTGAACCCTATGGGGAGCTCGTCATTGCTGCCTGAAACTCGCGAGAATTCCAATCCTCCGAAAATCCGACAGCTCATTATTCCGAGCTCGCGACCTTCAACCCGAATGTCCGTCCGATCGTACTTCATTTTGAGTCATCATCGAATTAGCGTGGCATGAACAGGGGCAACGCCGGATTCCCTTCCGATGCATCGCTCTTCTCAAGAAGGATTTGGCTTCGGTGATGCTGGGTCATCCTCGATAAGATGCCAAACGAAGAGGCGAGATGCATACTAATGTGTAAAATCGAGAGGAAACATTGGCGGACACCTCCGCCTCGGAGACTCGACTCGAACCGGCTTGGGTTTTCGAATTCTCTCTCTTGTTGATCCACTCAAGTCTGTCTGATCGATTTATCGTTGGCATCCGCTCTCAGGGGTCGACAAACCGAGCCAATGGTTTCCCGCGGTGATGTTCCAATAGATGGAGGTCTCAACGGCTCTGATCGGCCTCAGAGCACCCGAATCACGACGATCGGTCGGGAAGCAAATGCAGCGTTGTCCCATCAGACGATGGCAATTGCTTATCGTCCGAATTGCACCAAATATCCAAAGCTCGAACTAACGGCATTGCATCTACGTTTCGTCGCCGAGTCAGCGACTGGATGTCTCGCGAAATGGTTCCAAACACGAAGCTAACGGATCAGCGGTCTTTTTGGTGCATCCAGCTCGAGCGACACCATCCCCGCGAGCCCCGGACCATTCGCAAAGGGTCGCGAGTGACGTAAATCTGCTCGTGTGACGTGCGCAGTCAAGAAAATAAAAAGAGGATGAAAATAAGGGACCGGATGTTGGCAGACGAGCCAATCCAGAATATCGAAGATTGCATGATTTTTTCGTGTCGCTTTCTCGTGAAGCAGTTTTCTCAGAAAACATACTTACGCGACAGGAAAAACTTAAGCCACACAAACATGCACATATCCGATCTTGCATCGGTGCTAACGGACGAATGCGATCGAGATAAATCCCCTTTTCCCCAACCCCAGAAATCCTGGCACAATGAGCATGTGTCGGAGGCAGCAGACTCCTGCGAGCGAAGCTCGTTCCCGTTGACGAATTTCTTTCGAGGCATCGGAATCAGTGATTATTCGTCGGAATCAATGAATCCTGAATAGCTTCCAGAAAGCGAAATCGATCAACACTAGTAGCTTAGGAGACATAAGAGTAATCTAAGGACGATTTTCCGACTGACTGAGTCCTCCCGGAGCGGCGGATCTGAACCGAGATTCCCAAGGCGTACAATCAAGAGGAAACTACGAACTCCCCGCATGAAACGCAATCAGTCAAGAACCTGAGCCGCGCAACATCGCGTCCATGCTTCTCGGACGGAACGGGTTTTCTGAGGGGAATAATTCGTCAGAAGAAAGAAAGGTCCCCGGAGATGCGAAAGAGTTATATAAGTGTTTCCTGTCTGCGAAAATCTTGGCATGCTTTCCCGGGCTAATCTCTCCGCCCCGGAGTCCCAGGCGGATTCACCCGATGGAAACATGCATCTGTCCTGAGGCGCTCTCGGGAGAAATTCAGATCCGTTTCCGAGAAAAACCTTCAAGGGGCACATACGATCCGAATTTCATAAGAAGCGTTCGATTATGTCATTGGTGGGGCTTCGAGCAAGCAACCGTGTTGATAGCGGGAATCCTTGGTGGAGCACTGACGTGAAATGAATTGTTCAAGCATCCTGTTGAAACTTATAATCTGAAAAATCTATTTCTTCCACGGAGCGGCACTAATCGCCGTCCAAGCGACTACGCAAGTGAGCGAGCGAAGCATCGACCGGTCACTCTCTGTACTTCCCTCGATTTTCGCCTCAGTCAGCCGGAAAAGGAAAGGAGGTTGAAGATATAGTCCGATATCCTTCCGAAGAAGCCGTTGCCATATCTGTCGTTCGATTGAGGCTGTTGAATTACTGTGTGCCAGAATATATCGTGATATCTTAGGAACTTTAGCTCGACTATGTAAGTTCAACTCAAATCTACCTCTTTTCTTGTCGAAGCCGCTACTTTTCTCCAGATCATGAGCCGCTGCAGCATCTCGAAAGTCGCTTGAGACCAGCCGTCGTCGCATGAGGGACCTGGTATCCCTGTGAGTCGGGGATTCCCTTTTTCCTTCCAATCCGAATCGACACGCCAGGCACAGGTTCAAGCCAACGAAACGCGCGGCCTCAGCCCGAGTAATTTCGTTTCGCCTTCAGTGTTTCTCAGAAAATCCATTGCGTCAAATGAGAATCTCCAAAACCTGAATCAGACACCTTGACCGAAGACAAGCCAGAAATTCGGCGTTATGATTTTTCCCGTACCCATATAATGAGTGAAACAACAACTGAGATAACTTTCTGTGGCTGTTTGTTTCGGAAAGTTCCTCAAGGAGTGAAAGCCGCTCTTATACCGGGCATTGTCGAAACTCACGCTCTACGGTCGCCTGACTGGATCCTGCCAAGCGAAGCCGAAGGAATCGAGCGTTTAGAGCAACAAAAAAAACGAGCAATGGAAAGTCCACCGCCCGAAGCTCGCTGTTTAATAATTTGCGGCTCCGATCGTTTTCTGCTGTTCCCGCTGGAATTAGCAGAATATTCTGTTGCTCACTGTTGTGTCAATTCTCAACCAGCGCGAATTCCGCGCGAAGTTTGCACAATACGGGAAGCTGCCTCGTCCGTAGACGGCTGGGACGGTGAAGCAAGGAGCGTCAGGCTTCGTACCTCAGTCGACGTCAGAAGTCCCTTCGGATTCTGGGAGCCTTGACCGTCGAAGTCCTGGGCAATGTCTGTTCGTCAAGACAAACCGGCTTGAACGCAGTGTTCTCGTCACACTCCAGCGTGCCTGGGGCCTGAACGCGTTCAATGATTTTCGATAGTTCGAAAACGAGCGTCTGAATCCTACTTTGCCCGACGAACTCTGAGATCAGTCGCTCAGAGCGAGCTCGTACCCGATCGATTACCGATCACGCGCAAATCCCAGCGATCCCGCGCAATGCGGTCTAGCCATCACTCGACGCGTAGTCATCCCACAGAAAACCTGGGAGCTGAGCGTCGTCTGACAGAAAACCTGGGAAACCTTGGGGCGACATTCTTATGTTTGCCGGATTCCGGTCGTTTTTCATCACGTAAGCAGACATAATCAGTATATTCCGATCTCGCGAGACTCGGTATGGCTGGACCGCGGAGAAGCCCCGAGACACGAATATACTCATCGAGTATATCCGCCTTCGACGCGGCGTACCCGGTGCCCGATCATCTCATTAAATCGTTCAACGAGTTTCATGCATTCTCCGCCCACCTCCTCTGCGTCTTTGCGTACGTCGGGAGCGCGGACCATCTTTGCGTGAGCCTCGTCTGTGGCCGACGGGAGGAGGAGAAGCAGAAAAGACGGTACCGCCGGAATTTAGTCTTGTCGATCTCTGATTGTCCATTC